ACAAGACGTAGCTCCCAGAGCTACAACAGGATCTAGAACTGAAGTTCAGATAAACAGGTCGGATATCACGTGCCGTGATCTTCCTCTTACTAAGCATCACGGTTCGCACCGTGACAAATAGGCTCGGAGCTAATAAGCTCTCTAAGTTGATCATTGCGGTATTTCTACTGGGTAGATTAATTATACGCTGTAGTGGTAATAATCTAAAGGTTGGTAGTAGTTGTAGAAATATATAGTATACGATATATATACATCTCTTCTCGAGTTATTTTTCATTAACTAAGTAGTAAATGACTAGTACATAAGAATTTATCCCCTAGAACTCCGCTTACATAGATACTATAAATTTTATGTTAAAACGGGATAACCTAATTAAACATACCTTATATTTCAACACTAAATAGAAGCCCTATGTTGAAAAACTGGTTAGACCAACGTGAGCATTGACCATAGGTACACCCTGGAGGGCCAGGGAGGCCTCCTTCGTCTGTGATCTGAGCGACTAGTAAAATACCACCTGACAACCTGACAACCTGACAACCTGATAACCTGACAACCACCGCGCCGGGCCGGGAGCGCTACCATACGTAGATCTAAAGAGATTTTCTATTTTTAAAGAGATTTGTCTTGATTTTAGTTAATTTAGAGTAATTAGCGTGGGTTTTCGCCCGAAAGGTAGTCCTACGAAGGCGCATCTGGGGTGTTAAATCAGGTACGTTTTAACAGCACGCTACTTCGCTAATAGCGCTGATTTCTTACTTCTTAATATCCTAGATAGTTAATAAGATGCTACCTTCTCTATCTCTTGGGTGGGGTGCGCAGCTCGGTAGTGAAATACGTTAGTAGTGACTTCGTATGTTTTTAGGCGCCAAGACCCCTTGATTGGGCCCGGATAGGCTTTCGTAGGCTAAAATCTGTGGGCTTTGCGGAAGCCTATTAGACAGTTTTATTATTTATTTTCTACCCCCTGTGAAAGATCTAAAAGAACTTCAATAAATCCATGCTACTTAGTGTGATATTTGTATTGTATGTTTTCAGTTATTTAATTTAATATTTAATAGTGTGCGGGAAAAATTCACTATCCTAGGACTTTCCATCGTAAGGCGTACCTATGGAATTTCTGTTGTGTCTTTACAACGCAGCGCCCACGTTCTGCTAGCACCCACCGCCCGGGATCAACTTTTGCTCCATTCAACACTACGGACACCACCAACCTACACATCGATCACGCAGTCACTTTCGCAATGGCAGGTAACGACATTATTCGGTCGCTGAGGTTGCTATCACGCAGCTCAGGTGGACTCATGTCAGGCCCGAAGCAGGTGACGGTTAGTGCAATCCATCCTCTACAGCCGGGTCCTAGGACGAATTTACTGACAGCGCATCGAATCATACAGCAACGATGCCTCACGCGCTCAATGGAAACAGACGCTACAACACAACCCCTCGTGGCAACTAAAGATGCCGTCCAGGTCGAACAAGCACAACGACCAGGGGGCCAGACCCCTGTTCAAGTCATGACCTACAGGTGGCCCAACTTGGAACCCCAGCGCCTGGTCCACTACTCCCGAAGGCTACTTCAGATGCCCACACGTCACGACATTCTCCACCGCGCAGTCATCTACGAGGGTGACAGCACCCGACAAGGTTCAGCCAGCACCAAGTGGAGGGACGATGTGCACGGTAGTCACAAGAAGCTGTACGCGCAGAAGGGCTCCGGTCGTGCGCGTGCGGGTGATAAGATGTCGCCAGTTCGACGAGGTGGTGGTGTCGCTTTCGGACCCCATCCTCGTGATTTTTCGACCGATTTGCCCCGAAAGATCTACGACCAAGCTTGGCGCATTGCCCTCAGCCACCGACTTTCACGCGGCGAATTGGTTGTTATCGATAACAGCATCGGTATCGATGACGCTGCTAGTCCGTTCTTCATCAGAAATCTCGTCAAAGCCCATGGCTGGTATCAGAAGGGCCGGTCTACGTTCGTTACACTGAAGCCGAATGAGATGTTCTCGGATGCGGTCGAAAAGTTCGGCAACCATGCACGAACTATCAGCGTCGAGGACTTGGATGTGAAAAATGTCTTGGAGACAGCACGATTGGTTATTGAGAAGAATGCGTTGCACAAGATCCTGCTTTCCCACTCGACGGACTTGGCGAAGGTGGACACTCTCTTTTCACCATCAGCAGACGGAGAGAAGGTGTATCCGCTGGAATTTAGCCGCATGAAGGCTACATGGAAGAACTTTTAATTGTATCAATCCTTGTTTCTTTGTTTTTGGCATTATCTAGCTGTGTACAAATAGATCATCTATACTTCGAACGTTGTCACTTCTCGGTGCTGGCCTAGGTGCTACAACGTATAAGTGGTACTTAACTAGTTTTTCGCATTAGACTTAAGTCAAAATCAATTTGTTTAGTCTTAAGAATGACATCAATTGGAGGTGATGTCGCTGAAATGTACGGAGTATGTATCTCTGTGCTTGTCGGTAACGGGCGGAGAGTTGATCCTCGGAGCGGAAAGAAAATCCAGCGAAAAACTCCCGAGGTCAAAGAAAGCGGAGAAACACCTGATTGTCACCACCTAACCCCCTTCTCTGGTTCTCGTCCTATTCTAGTTCTAATGTTACTTCGACAATTCAATCGCGTCGCGTCGCCGAGCTGGATCTCGCGCGTTCCTTCAGCGATGCCTTTACGCGCCAAGGTGACCAACCCTGCCTTTCGGGCAGCAGCTATGGTACACACCCCATTCGGAGAGAATCCCGACACCCAGTGCTTACTTGCTTGTTCATGATAGTTGTCGACTTCCCCTGCTATCCCCAAAGAGCTCCCCGGCGATGAGCGCGACGATGTTTTGTTCAATTCGATCTACGGCATCCGCAGCGTTGAGCTCAACCGACCCAAGAAACTCAACTCCCTCAATGGGTCGATGGCTCGCAAGATTCTTCCTCGATTGAAGGTTAGAATTGATACCTGAAACTTCAGAAACATATCATACTAAGCGTTGGATGAATAGGAGTGGGAGAAATCTCATCTTGCAAGCATCATCCTCATCTCCGGAGCCGGTACCAAGGCTCTCTGCGCAGGCGGCGACGTTGCTGCCCTGGCGCTGCAGAATGAGAGTGGAGTGGAAGGACAAAAAGCATCGACAGAATTTTTTGGACTTGAATACCGCCTCGACCACCTGATCGCTACATACTCAAAGCCTGTTATCTCATTTATGGATGGCATCACTATGGGTGGTGGTGTTGGCCTCAGCATGCACGCCCCCTTCCGAATTGCGACTGAGCGTACCGTTTTTGCTATGCCCGAGACCACCATTGGCTTCTTTCCCGACGTTGGTGGTTCGTTCTTCCTTCCTCGTCTGGATGGTGAGACCGGTACATACCTGGCTTTAACCTCGGAGCGCCTCAAGGGTGTTCAAGCTCTGTATGCAGGCATTGCCACACACTATTTGCACTCCAGCGTCCTGAGCAGTGTGGCCCAGCGTCTTTCCGAGCTGACTTTCCCCGACCACGTCGAGCTTCCCGAACGTTTGGAAATCGTGAACAAGACCATGGCTGAATTCTCCCTTGGCCTCCCTTCGCTTGAGGAGGAGCCTATGCTCATGGCCGGTAGCCTGCGTACTGCCATTGACCGCTGCTTCGGATTCAACACTATGGAAGAGATCATCGAGGCTTTGGAGATGGAAACTGAGCACAAGGAGTGGGCACAAAAGACATTGGAGACTCTGTCAGGTCGCTCCCCGACTTCTCTGAAGGTGACCTTGCGCCAGATGCGTCTTGGCAAGAAGTGGACCATCTCAGAGACCTTCCAGCGTGAGCACGAGATTGCTGCCAACTTCATGCGCCACCCTGATTTCGTCGAGGGTGTCAAGGCCCGTCTGGTGTCCAAGCCTGCCCGCCAGGCCGAGTGGCAGCCCGCTACTCTCAAAGAGGTCTCGGATAAAACCGTTGATGACTTCTTCGAGATCCCCAACGGCGAGTCCCGCCTCGCGCTTCTGAGTGAGGGAGATTACAAATACTACCCTCATGCCCACTTCGCTCTTCCTTCTGAGAGAGAAATTGAGGAGGTTGTGCGTCAAGGTCACGCATCGCGAAGACCCGTGGTCGACTACTTCCTCCAAAAATACGCTCACCGCGAGGGTGTGCGCCGAAAAGTCGTCGAGGTGATTGCCCGACGGACGACGACATCATCTCCCGAAGGACTCAAGTGGGTGAATTAAGAGAGGGATACCGTCTAGAGCTTGTAATTTTATCGCTCGGTGTATTAGAATTTATTGGCGGCCCGCATACCACAAAACACTTATCGCATCTTCTGAATCTGCAATTGTTGATCTTGAACTGGAAATGAACAGTGATATTGAACTGGTCGATTCAAATCTAGAGGACATTTGTGATCTAAAACTTGTCAATCACACCATTGTACCCCACACTATCTAAAATGGGTCCTCAACCCACCCTCGGCATTGCTGACCCGTCCCCCAACTTAATCTCCCATCAAAATCCACACTGCCTTTCAACCAAACCCTTGAATATCTGTTGCAAACTGCCAGCAGCGCTTCTAGATGGAGATTGAGAGCAGGTACACAGAGCCTAGCGGGCGCTCATCAGAAAGTATCCCCAATGCCTCCAGCGCTTTGTTACCGACATTGTCAAACGATACTTCACAATCTCCAAATGATAGCCCAGCACTAGAAGCTCGCTCCGTACTCACGCGCCTATACATCTCACACACACTCTCAGCATGGAACTCACGCATGTTCGAATTTGGCGCCGTGCTGTTCCTCGCCTCGATCTTCCCAGGGACACTACTATACGCTTCGATGTACGCTCTAGTGCGGGCGTTCTCAACCGTCGCGCTATCCTCCTGGCTCGGTGCGCAAGTTGATAGTTCAGACCGGCTTGTAGCTGTGAGGCACTCTATTGGTAGGTTGATTGTGTCTTTGGACAATTCACTGTGTTAAATTTCGCTGTGCTGTCATTCAGGGCCGATGGCTAACAAGAGGAACAGTGTGGCAAAGAGTCCCTGTCGCGATCTCGTGCTTGTGTTTCGTGGTGACCTTGTCTACGGACTCTTGGCCGCGTACAATTGCCTTGTTTGCTGTACAGGGCTTGCTGGCTTGTGTGGAGAAACTGGCCAGTACAGCTAATACGGTGGCTGTGGAACGAGACTGGGTAGGTACAGGAAATCGTATTCTGGTTCTCTGGATTCTTCCCTGCGTCCTATCTGAAAAAAAAAAAAAAATTAGATCCTGGGAGATCTCAATCGCTGATAATTTGACACCAGGCAATCGTCATCTCGGAAAGTATCAATGTCCCTCGACAAGGTGAGAAGCCCGAAGCGACTTGAGACTCCTACATTCCCTAACTTCGATCCAATGACAGACTTGAATGCCTCCATGAGACGAATCGATCTCTTCTGCAAGCTCATAGCACCAGTCTTCATCTCCTTGATCGACAGCCTCTCGACCCAATACGCAATCTGGACAGTTTTCACTCTGAACATCGCATCCGTGCTCGTTGAATATATGGCCATAGCCCAGGTCTACCGATCAGTCCCCGCCTTGACCAAGATGCAATCTCCCGCACCGCAGGCAGATGATCTAAACAGCGAGACCGCCGATGATCCCCACCATCACACATCTCGCAGCATCCTCCGCTCCTTCCCAGAATCACTCAACCCATGGAAGGAGTACATCGCCAGCCCGGTCTTCCTAGCATCCTTCGCCCTGAGTCTGCTCTACCTAACAGTCCTATCCTTCGGCGCAACAATGGTCACTTACCTGCTGCACGCGGGCTTTACCTCGTTACAGGTCAGCTACATGCGTATCGGTGCCGTAGCCGCCGAGATATCCGGTACATGGACAGCGCCGATCATTATGAACCGGATTGGACCCATTCGGTCCGGGCTGTGGTTCCTGAATTGGCAGTTTCTCTGCGTGGCTGCTGCCGCTGTGGCTTTTGTTTCGTGGGACTCGGGCTCGCAGTTCGTGGCGGGTACGCTGATTGTGGGCGTTGCGTTGAGTCGTGTTGGGCTTTGGGGATTCGATTTGTCGGTTCAGTTTCTTGTGCAGGAAGTAAGTGGCTTCTTCTGGATGATTGGCTTGTGGATCGCGCATGGACTGACCGACTGGTGTTTTGTAGAAGATTCACGAACATGCCCGTGCCCGCTTCTCTGCGACTGAAATGGCGCTGCAGAATGTTTTCGAGATGCTTTCTTTTGCTTCGACTATTGCTTTCCCGCTGCCGGCGCAGTTCGGGTATCCCGTGCTGATCAGTGCTGGGGCTGTGGCGGTTGCTGCTGTTTGTTTTGCGGCGTATGTGCGCAAGGAACGAGGGCATCTGCTGCATCGTGTACGGTGTATGGGTGGTGAAAAAGCGGGATACCGAAGCATAGCGCCTGAGTCGGTTTAGAACCTTGGGGCGGATGTAGGTTTTGGCATCACAATTCATAAGAAAATTTATGCATGCATGAGCTCGTCACCAAAATTAAGCGGACGAGCAGACCGCTGGTTATAAAAGCCTGCCAATGAGCCAGTAGAAAGAGGAATGGGTCTTCGATGCTGTTTTCTTCCGTGTAGGTCTATGTTGGTGCTGTTAGGTGACAAGTTTGGGAAGTTTGTATATCGGGTGGTTTCAGAGGTGTGCGATGATCTGGGATGATGGCCAAGCGCAGGGAGAGGATCGCGATCTCGGCCTGCAATCAAGGACTCGACACCTAGCAGCTTGACCCATGCCACCGGCAAATGACCGAGACCTGCTTAATGTCGGATACGATCATGAAATCGATGAGTGTGGACTCTGTCACCTCGCCACGAATACAAGCTTGTATCTCTGAACTGGATACTCTAAAAAGTAGGTGCCCAGGGCCATCTTTTCCTTTCCATTATCGCTTTATGGACATCGGCATAGCAAGGTAAAGCATCTAATAGCGGACTCAAATCTTATGCATGAGCTGGCAGCGCTGGCCGCGTATCCTTCCACTCGATATTTCATGGGCGCAAAAGGAGCAACCGGCGGATCAATGGACCGAAAGTGCAGTAGCAGCAGGTTTTGGTCTTCAAATGAGGGATCGCCTGCGTCGGACAAGCTGTCCTGCATAGTTGGCACATCTGAAGCGTAGCAGATTGAGGCCCCATCGATGAGTGGAGGTGAGGGTATCTGGAATAAATGGAATGCAACGGTCTAGTGTGAGGTTCGCCGGTAGCTACTGCGACGCCAAACCAGAGGTGTAAGTCGTCGGGGGTTCGAGTTGGCAAGCATGTTTGCCGGCCGCAGATCAACACAGAATGATGTGAAATATCCCCCGTCGCGAAGGATCTCGGGGAGTGGCACGACCCTCTCGTTGAGGTAGCTCTCGTACCCGGGCATGCCGCGCTGCGGCGCGGTGCTCATGGTCGAGCCTTGAGGTCCATTCTGGCTGGAGATGATGTTGGTCCATTCGAGTAGGTTGCCTAGACCGGCGATGTGATGCTCTGTGCCGGTCATGATCATGGCGCGTGTGGGGCTGGGACTTTGTGAGCTTGGGTGGAGCTGGTGGTCTGGGGCAGAGGAGCTTTACGAGCATGCTGCGGCGGCGTGGGAGTCTGTAAATCGGAGTCCCTCGTTGGCGATCTGGTCGATGTTAGGCGTGCGGATCTCTCCGCCGAAGCAGCCCACATTGGAGAAACCTAGGTCATCGGCGACGATGCCGAGGAAGTTGGGGGCGTTTGGTTGTCGTTGGTGGAAAGATTCATTGGATGATAGAAAGGGTGAGGGGGTGTGGTTATTGGTTATCTCATCTCGCAGCTCCGACCTCAGCAAGCATCATATGGAAAGCATCGCCCATCTGGCCGGCAAGCAATGCGGGGATTGAGTATCCACATTCGATCGGGGACTAGCCAAAGAGACTTGAGCCAATGACGGTGGAATCACGCCATGTCGGACGTCTACGAAGTACAAAAGTGAAGATCCGTCAGGTCCCCGTGGACCTTGAGATGTACAGTGACGGACGTCCAGAAACATCCCTCTACATTCCTTTCGCACTTGCTACGACAGCTATGATTTGATTTATTTCCACCTGAAGATACCCACTATAAATCCTCCATGCTCCTCCCTTTCTCTAAATGGTGTTTTAGTCTGCTCAGTTTGGGAAACGCCCGCTGTTGGATGGCGCGGCATCTATGGCGAGTTGGATGGTTGTCACTGTGGCCGTTGTCCAGTCTTGTCCACAGCCTGGAGATAGGCCTTTCTCCGGGAATTGTGACAGTCAACCGCTAGAAGGTCTGGTCTTTAAGCTATATCTTGACCTTTTATCTACCAGATCAACACAGTGTATCGATAGAAACCAATTCATTTCCATCTGCCATGCTGTAGAAGATACAACCCAGGCACGGCCATTGCCCACAGCAACAATCCACCTCCTAGCCAATCGCCTTCAAGGCAGCTAGAATTGACAACAAAAAAAAAACCCCCGACGGAACGGAATACCAAAAGCTTGATCCGTTTGCTCAAGTCGGAATCAAAAACGCCAGACACCCTCCAGTTCCCACTGGATCGCAAATCAAAAGGGCTCAAAGATCCACAGTCAACGCCAGACAGACCTGCTGCCCCCATTACCTCCACATTTGAAAAACAAAAAAAAACAGAAACAAAAACAAAAAGTCGTGATCACATTAGCATCCACTCCTAGCCTGCCTCACACATTAATCAAATCATCAAAGGAGGTATCCTCCGCCGAGAAAGAATAAGACCCCTCTGAGACCAGCGAAGTCTCCGACTCGCGACGCATCTGCTGCTCAAATGCCTCGGCAGCAGCCGCAGCGGCCGGCTCCAGTTGCAAGGGATCATCAAAGCCAAACGACATCGTCGCCGGCGCCACTGGAGCAGGCACAGGCACAGGCACAGGCACAGGCACAGGCATAGCAGTCGCAACCGGAGCGGGGTTGGATTCGAGCGGGGAGACAGAGGGATTGTTCTCCGAGATTCTGACGGGCGAATCAGGCAGCGCACCTGCAGACGGAGCACCATCATGATCGGTAATTTTCTTGACCATCTGAGCGAGGTGAAGTCTAATCGGCTCATCTCCACACTGAGCGTGTTTCAGTACTTCATTCTTCAGCCCGAGGATCTCCGATCGTAGCCGGGCAATCTCCGCGATCAGCTGCTCCTTCTTCTCCGATTGTTCCTTGAAGTTAAATTCCAGCAGCTGGGTATGTTCTTTTTTTTTCTGGCGACACTTGCTTGCCGCGAGACGATTCCGCTCGAGGAACTTGGCCCGCTTGGCGCGTTCGTGCGGGGCATCGTCGAGATCGGGACTGAGGCTGGCAGCTGCGGTGTTGTATTCTCGCACGCGCCGTCGTTTGCTTGCATGTTCCATCATGTCTCGGGAGAGATCGCGACCTTGCTCGTCATATGGAGGCGGGGTTGGTTGGCCATTTCGGACCTGGGCGTTTTTGAGGTCCCGCTCGAGTGCGGAATTGGCAAATGCTGCCGAATCTTTGTCCCAGCCCGTGGCCATTGGTGAGACGGGGCTCAATCCCCAGAGTTCGTCGTCTGGAATGGGAAGACCGAGGAAATCACCTGCAAAGGAAGTGAATGGTGATGGATCAGTAATGTTTGCTAGGCCAGGTAACCCTGGTAGCCCTGGCATGGCAGAGTGAAGGTTAGACATATCAAGGGAAGCTTTCCAAAGAAGATATTCTCAAACATGGAAGAGAAAGAAAGAAAAGGACCCTCTTTGCCCTAAGAACCCTAAATCAGAAAAAAAGCAAAAGAAAAAGAAAAAGAAAAAGGTCTCTTTTGATCAAGTTTGGTGCCTGAAGAAAATGAAAAAGTTCAGGTGCGGTTGACCTGGTTGGAGCCACGGTCGGACAAGACTTCCTGCGGTCCAGAAGATCCGGGCGAATGGCAAATGGGATTTGAGTGTTTCCCCCAAAGGATAGAAAGAATGTCAAGTTTGAAAAGATTTGTTTTAAAAAAAAACCAAAACCAGAGATATCAAGGGAATGGAATTGTCTGTTTCTAACTGGACACCGTTTTTTTTTTTTACCTGAGTAACCCCCATGCCCAGACACTAGAACTAGAATTAAACAGTAAGAGATGAGAAAAACCAAAACCAAAAGAATGGGATCCAACAGGATTCAAAGCCGTTAAAAACAAAAGAAAAAAAAATAACACAGAGGAATTGGGGTGCAGAGGAAGTGGGGGAGAGAAGTATACAGCGTGTTCGAAAATCCAATCAGAGAGCTGGACCTGATTTCTCACGCTGAACACCCTCTAGGAAGGACTCCCTACCCCACCACAAAGCGTCGACTTGTCCAGTGTTGCAATTGTCGGTGCATAAAGTGCCAATTATTAAGCAATAAACCTGCCACGCGTTGATCATCAACCTCCTTTTCCACCTCGAGCGAGGCTTCTCGGGTCTCTTGTCTGGGCCCTAGGAGGAGTGGTCCAACCACCCGCGCCAACTCGTGGAAGTTCGGATTCGCCACTGAATCACGGAGCTCCATCCCGGGTTGGTCCGGGACCGTGGTCGCCGCATTCACCAGCATGGACAGTAGCCCAAAGACCGCACAGATCAGATCGCGCTGCATCTCATGAGCAAGGGCAATGAGCGCCAGACACATAAGTTGCACTCGGGCGGCAGTCGTTGGGCTCGCCTCGGAGAGGCAGTCGGGCACACGGAGTTGATGGGGGTGATTGGGGATGGAGTGATAGTACATTGCCCGCAAAACTTGGTAGAGTCGGACACTCCCGAGGATCCCGTTGGGAAGCCCCGCCAGGACGGCCTTTAAGGCCCAGGCCACACTTAATACCGGCGCCGAATCTTCACGGAGCGGGGGCATGGCAACCACCCGCATGGTAAGGGAAATCTTGGCCTCATCTTTCTCCGCCGCTAGCACCTGGCTAGCAAAGTGGTCATACAAGCGAATCGCGGCCTTCAGATCGCCGGGCTGGATGAAGATCTCGGGAGTGTCCAGACCTGCAGGAACCCGGGGTCAGTCAAGTCATGACGTAAAAGACGCAGCCACCAACCATATTTGTGCAGAAACATCAGCGTTGCCACAAGATACGCCGGCAGCTGCACAGGACTGGGGGCCAAGTCCGTCAGCATAAGATAGCCATGTCCTCCCAGACGGGCCAAAGTCTCGATCGATCTTCCTTGCAACGAAGTCATCGGAGTGGGACGGCGCAGATTTGCGAATGTTTTCATTCGTCGTAGCTTTGGAGGGGGTGCCAAAGGGGTTGTGTCGGCATCCAAACTGGATCGCACCTTGCGAACTTTCCCCAACAACCCGAATCCACGACGACTCGGGCCCTGTTCCTCGGTGGCAGGATCTCCCTCTACTGCTAGACTATCGTCAATGGCAATTCATGCCCACAGGGGAAGACAAACGTACGAAGACATGGAGTATCATCACTTGGAATGGTAATTGGGATGCCCAACTGAGATGTCATCTGGTTGAAGGCTGAGGTCGCCTTGGGCCCGTCAAGTGTGCTACTCCAACTTACTTGACTTGCTTGGCTGGTGGCCGAACATGCTCTCTGAGAATTCGCATGTTCGGGCTCGGCTGATGCGACAACTGGCTCGATAACTGGTTCAAGTGTGTCGAAATCAGTCTCGGCGATAGGCTCCAGCGTCCCTTCAGAAGCCCGAGATGATTCCTCTCGGCTCGTGCCTGCACTATGCCTCGAAGATCCCGGATTTACTGGTCTGACGTCGGTGGCCTTCCCATCCGAGAACGGATCCGAAGCCTCGGGGGTATGAGTTTGGGCATTGCTGCCACTATCCGGGTAATACAGCATCAGTCCCGGCCATCCCCACTCCTCGAAAGGTTCCTCCTGAAAAGGCATCGTGATGCGCTGGGCCGGGTCACGGCAGGCGTTGTCCTCGGTCTGGCTGGACTCCTTAGAATGAATCGCCTGACCGCTGCCCTTTCGCCTTTGTTTGGGGTCATTGAACCTGACAGACTTGCCAACGGCTGTGGACGACTTCCCGGCAGCATCGGGCTCAATGGGATTGGAGGACAAAGGTATGGAGCTCGGTCTCTCTGTGCAGGTCCTCTCTTGCGCGGGTTGAGGCTGTGTATCCGTGATGGGATCATCGTCTTGAGATAAGCTGCCACGCAAGCGAGCAACCATTCTCTTCAGACGCCTAGTGCCATTCTTGGATCGAGGAAGTTTGCCAGTGTCGTGGGCTTGTTGAGCATTCGACCCAGTTTCGGTATCGTCAACGAGAGCTACTCCGGCCGAGGAGGATGGCTTATGGGCAGTGTTGGGTCTTGCTTCGGTTGTCGGCTCACCATGTTGTAATTCACTCGAAGCGGCTTCTGGTTGAGATTTCAATGGGTCTTCCTCAGACCCTTGGCGCCGTCGTGGCCAGACAGCACGAGATGAAGCAGGGTTAGGTGTCTCAGACCCAGACCTGAAGACCATTTTGAGACGCCGCATGATTACGTTTGGATAATGTATACGAGAGGAAGAGATGGGGATGAAATAAGAATTAGGATGCCTCGGGATGTGACTTGGCCAAGGTCTTGTCCTCGAGGAAGGAGCTGAGATACACGAGGCAGGGGCGCCTTGACAGCAATCTATAGCCAACAGTCCACCTTGGAATTCCGATAATGCCTTGAATGGACATTCGAATCTTCCAGGTCTGTTTCTGCTCCAGTGCTCGGCCCCCCCTCAAAAAAGCGAAAGAGAGCAGGGTTGGAAACCATGTCATAATCTCTGTACATTCGTAAAGCCCAAAAATCCAAATAATAGCCCAGAACATTAGCCTCGCCGGGCCCATGTGTTCCCAGGCAATTCACAAGTTATCTTCATATTTTTTGTGTTTTCCCTCGAAGAGCCAGAACAGGGCCGATCAAAACGCCGAAACGATGCAAAACTGAATATGTGTGGGAGGAAAAAAAAAATCATTGTCAACTCGAAGCCAATCACGCCTCTTCGTTCTCTCCCTCGAGAAGAATGTAGTGCAAGATATCACTCAGAGTCAGAACGCCCTTGAGTTTGAAATGCTCATCCACAACGACGAGACGGTGCACTCGCGATTTACGAATGGTATCAAAGATAGTATCCAGTCCATCATTCAGTGAACAGGTGTAGATACCCGGGAAACCCTGCGTAGAACGTAAATATCAGAAACCGAGATCACCAACGGAGATTGACATACCGGAGAACGTTTCTTCAGTGCTTCCCCAACTGTGAGACTCAAATCATCGTAGAAACCGCCCTTGATCAAAGTGATAACGTCGACCGACTCAAATACGTTATACACCACGCCTTCCGAGTTCACGATCGGCACACTGGAAATGCTACGCTCGACCAAAATGTGGATGACATCAATGACCGGGGTATCCATCGAAGCCGTAGCAACGTTATCATAGGATCCTAGCAAGAGTTCACCTAGTGGACGCCGTAGCTGCTGCGTATCGGGGACATTGACGGCGACGAACTTCAAGATCCGGTATTGCGTGATGACGCTAAGAACGTGGGGCCGCTCGGTCTGGCTATCGCTAGTGACGAGGGGGATACGGCGGGCGCGCGATTCCAACATGCGCCGACAGGCATCGTAGAGAGGGCGCTCTGGATCGATGGAGACGGTCTCTGGCGGTGCCACGCCTAGCGCTTTTTCAACTTCTGTATACTCCCGTTAGCCGGGTGTACCTGCAGGAAATGCGGCGACCACGGGAGAACCCCACGCACCTCGCAAACTGTCCAGGCGGAATTGATCGATCTGATCCAGCGCAGCGGGGTTCTGAAAATAGTATTGGATGACATTGATGTAGTCGGAGGTGGTCAGAAGACCTGCAAATTTGGAGGCTTTGGAATCCCACAACGGAGCTGAAACGATGCCTGTACCTCCCGATTTCCCGGTTCGCAGTCAGCTGAGGTTCGGCACCTTTGTAGAAAAGGAGGAAGGAATCGCGTAAAGCGTACCGTTTTGAATCAGAATGTTCAGACTCTCCTTGACGGAAAGCGATGTATCGAAGATGATGAGTCGGAAGCTGAGTGGTAGGACATCGTAGGAGTTTCGGGCCTTGAGGAAATCGCGAATGGCACGCTGTTTGCTGCGTTAGTCAAGATCTGGATATGCCCCAGGAGATCTGGTGACTGGTGAACCCATGCCGAAACACGTTCACAATGTCCGATCCTCCCCCCACATAGTGTTCAACGTCAGATATAAAGAGGGGTTATCTCCCCGCCCATCTTTTGAAAAAAAAAATTGAAAAATTGAAAAAAAAGCAAAACGGGATACTTACAAGGCCCTGTCGCTCTTCCCGATCGATCGCTCGCTCGGAGGCCATTGGGGGCGTAGGTACGAGGATGAGCTGCACGAAAGGCGCGTGACCAAAGATGAAGGTCCCGAGTCGAGGGTCTTCCGCCTTTCGAGATGTGGGGGAAAGGATCCTACGCAACCAGATTGAAATTTATCGGAGAGATTAAAAGGAGATTAATTGATTAACGAGTGTTAATTTCCTTTTTTTAACTGTTCATATTAGATTACTAGATGCAATTAATTATTTCTCTATGCGAATGAGAGGGCTGCAAGTACGCGGGCTATACGGGAACATTCCAATGATCCTTGATCAACGATGTACACGACGTAGACATATACCTGGTGATACCGACGTCCGGTTCATCAACAGTGAATCATATCAAGGCGAAGTGTTGAAACTTTCAAAGACTCATGCTAAAGAAAATCTTCCATCTGACCTGGGAGTTGGGGCAGCCACCGACTTTTGGATGTTAAGCACAATGTTCGACAACACATCTCCTCATCAGGGTCAAATTCCATGCAGCTCATAACCATCCATCGTTGTTCTGACCCGTGAAGAGTACCATTAAGAGTACGATCAAGTGCTCATTCTTCTGGAGTCAACCACGCGGATCTTCAATCACCTCGCTGCCAGCCTCGTCCAAAATCTTCTTGTCCACCTCGCGGTAAGCTAGATCCTGTGAGTTACTTAAGACTTCCTCTTTATGGTCTATTTCTTGTCGTTACTCCGTCATGATAAAGAGGAGCACATGCTGAAATGCAGATCGCCACCCACCCCTACGATCCAGACTGCCATCCTCATTGAAACGTTGAAAGAACATCGCGCCAAGGGCGAATCCAGTAACCTTGTCAATTCCATGACCCTTGGCAGAAGATGACAAAATTGTCTGGAGCGTTTTGCAGGCAGGACTGCACCGTCCCCGGATGAACATTGTACTCAACAACCGCGCCGGTTATGCCTTCTAACCACGAGATTCTTTCTCCCAGGACGGGCTCTAGATTGTGTGTGTCGTCCATGTGGATAGTGATTGTAAGCGCTAGATGGGGTTTCCGAGGTTGGAAAAGAAGTGAGTAATAAAATTTGAGGTAGTGCTTGTAATAGAACCATCCATGGAGACGGAGACGAAAAGTCATTTAAAATAAAGAAATCCTAGACAACCCAAAAGCTATAGGAGAAGAAGATCCAAAGGGAACATCGGAGTATCTTCTTATCTAGAACTTCCCCTATTTAATCTTACACAAGACTAATCAGATCATCAAAGTCTTGCGTCCTCGAGACTAGAGGCTGCAAACGCGGCCAATTACTCTTGTTGCAATATACAGCTTGGAAGATGCTACTATTGGTAGCCGCAAATTGGAAAGAACGCGCTCAGAGAACGAAAGAAATGACACACTTCAATACTTCCAACTATCTATATGAAAAACTCCCAAGATATCCAGCGAGGCACCCTGTGGGTCACCCCGACTTGCAGACTGGGACAACCTTCTCCTTCCGGATATAGATCACAGCGTCCCCCAAATGCTTCTCGTCTCCAAGATCATACACATCGTAATGCTCCCTCATTTTTCTAGTACGGGAAGTATCAGGGTCAATGCTAGTGAGCATGTTAGCTTCGGAACCGAAGGCAAAAGGACACCTGAAACAGTCCAAGAAAACACCCACATGTGACGATCCACATCTTTGATGGCAGCCCAGATCACAATAGCGGGTCTAGCAATATTCTCGACGATTTGCTTGACAGGCACATTAGGTGCTATAGATAGCACAACTGACTGCTCAGTGACAGTGTCCCAGCCAACCGGATCCTCAACCACGTCAAATTCAAATTCGGCGAGAATTTTCTTGTCAGCAGAGGTGTTTATCGGATCCTGGATGTAGCAGTGGAGCTTCTTGCTCGGAGCTTGTTCTCTCAGCCAGTTCTTCAGGGTCATAAGCAGTGCGTGCTGGTAGTCAGTTCGAGGGTTGTATGGCCGTGACAGGCTACCGCAGGCAAATCCGACTATAGTGTCGATCTCATGGCTACTGACATTCTGGGACAACGTCGATTTGAACTTCTTGCAGGCCTCACTGGCCTCCCAGATCCGGATCTTCTCTCCAAACTCCCGAACTACGGTCTCATGGTCACGGGTCTCATCGTCGAGCACATCATACCTCCAGTATACCACTTGTAGGGGAGAGAATCCTAACGGTCCAACGCCCCAACACCCATCGATCTCATCCTTGAGATGTCGTGCATCTTTGTATTCTATGCCAAGCTTCATGCTAGGTAGTATCAGCCTGGATTGTCGTCGGGATGCAAGAAGTCACATCAAGCATAAGGTGCATCTCCTACCCGGCAAATTTCCCTTCGGCCTTTGGTACCACACCTTCAATTGTGTCCCCGTTAAGATCCTCGATGACGATTTTCCCTCCCGTAGCGGGTAGACCTTTCAACTGCTCCCCAAGCTCTCGAATCCTTTTTTTGGGGAAGAACAGTCTGCCGGACTCATACCAGGCATCGATGCGCGCTTTCGCTTCCTCCATTGTTGGTTGTACACGGGACTCCAGGCTAGTAGAAGTGCCTGACTGGAGCTTGAAATGCAACAGCTCCAAGCGCATTATACCCATGATGTAAGAGGTTGCATTCAGTCTTGATGAAGTCGGAACCTGGGTTGATGGTCAAAAATCTTCTAGGGGGCCAGCTCCATCCTGGTACACTCGGGGGGAAATCGTTCAAAATATCCCACGCCGTTCACCTCTGGCAGTGTTCAGTGCATCACATCTCACACCGTCTATCGGACTTGCGTGACAAGTTAGCATCCACTTAGTGAGGATTCTTTACCCAACTGTTTCAGTTAGTCCTGTTCCGGGTTTTGGTTGGACAACAGCTTTCGAGAAATTGACTTTGTAACAAACGGGTGGACGCAACAAAGCGACTGGCCTACAAGAAAACATAATACAAGACTCAAAGGTTCGCAACTTTCTGAATTTTGGTGATAGTCTGACAGAACATACACTTCGCTTATTACTACAAGAAGTAGACTTGGTAGACTCAGGAGTCGTAGTGTACCATGCGCCACGCGCCTAGGGATACAGAACAAGAGAAATAGCAATCGGTGGTTTGGGAATAGAGACAGAGGAGGGGCAACTCTGGACAAGTTGGCAGAGCCATTCTCTGTCTTTTCGGTACACAAGGCCAGTTGCGCAAGCGCAACACGAAGGAATTGTTGGAGCAGAGTCCAACGAGATTACCAATCAATCGGTTGGGCGACGTACTGAAATGTTATTGAAGAGGTCGTTTGTGATGAGAAAATGTGAAACTGATAGGGTGGACAAGGGAAGCAGACCCGAATGAATCTATGGCTACACATGTCTGATATGATATGGCTCTAAAAGATAAATATCTCAACCCCAAGGGAAAAAAAACCATGTAACGCCGCCGCAGCCATGCAAGGTATCATCGCAAAGCACATTTAGTCCGAATTCCAGAACCAGCCAGAACCTGATCTCTTGGGAGATAAATACATGAGAGAAGTGTAAAAAACGAATCGAAGCTCAAGGACGCTCGACGAGGACTGAATATTTGCAGCCGGGCCTAGAGATGCCCGTGTAACTTGAATCGGTAGATGCAGGTGTGCTTGGCACCCCAATTTGAAGTAACTCGGAAAACAACCTTGTCGACACGGATTGTTGAGACGTCGACTATGGTGTTGAGCTTGAATGTCTGCACGTAGTCTGGGCTGTGGAGGTCATATTCGACCTTCCCGATGCGGTAGAAGTTGGGGCCGAGAACTGGGTCGTCTGAGTAAGCGCTTGGAGGCTCGAAGGGGTTGCTTCGACGCAATAGATCCATCACCAACCCATGAAGTGAGCCGATTCCAGGAATAAGGAATCCTCCAAGTCCTGTTTCGCGGGAGGAAGGTGCCTGGGTTGACGGTGGCGCTTGTGACACCGTGGCATCACCGAAGAGTTTCAGGAAACCACGGCTAGGTCTAGCCTCAGGTGTTGGTCTGGCTTTGACTGGTGCTTTGTGGGGGTTCACTTTGAAGCGAGCCCACAGCTCGATTGTTCGAGGTGCTGCCTCTGGTTCCAGAGAGGCGCCCACGGGAATGTGCTCGACTACCAACTCTTCTGCCACAATGTCCCGGCCTAGAAGTACAGATAGCTGGGTCGTTCCATTGCGAGGAGCACTGCACCAACAGTCTCCGACCTCTTCCCACGTGCTGAGGGCAGAAATGGGAGATTGCGGTGCTCGAATGGAGCGCCTGGTTGCAAACGAACTTGCCCAGAGGAGTGCTCGGAAAGTAGCGCCGTGTTTGGGACCTAAAGTCGGCGAGGTTTTCGCTGGGTCAATAATTGCCCCCAACGCCACCGAAAGGAAATTGACTTTGTAGACCGGTTTCCGATGAAGGCTTGCATCTGTGGGCGTCGAATCATGAATATTGGAAAATGGCTGTTCTGATCGAACAGAACTGATCTCATTTGACAAGGATGACATCTGAATGTCCAGTTTTGAGATCTGGCTCCGAAGGCTGTGGAAAACTTCCGGTTGAGCGATGCTTATGTTGGAAGACGAATCCCAATCAAAAGCACCGTGGTCTAGATATGCGCGAAGTTTCACGGCAATCAGGGGCATGAAAATAAAGCTCAGGAACAAAAGGAAACAGAAGGCGCACCGAATCCAATTATGATAGGGGCCCTTCATCACCGCTTCGAATGCCTGCATCCAGCTTTTTCGGCGTACCTCGCTGGGGGGTTCATTATGACTTTGGGTCTCCTGACCTTGGGGCCGCACTGCTCCTAGCCATCGACGCAAGAAACTTTCCTTGGGGACATCCGGCTCTAAATCATGGTATATTGCCGATTCAAACTTGACATCTTCTTCCTCTTCTTCTACCTCCTCGGGGACATTAGCCAAGCCAGAAATTCGTCGAGGGGGCGCTGTGATGTTGCGTCCATGTTTGCTTGGTCGCGTTCTTTGCAAGTCATCTTCGTTGATATCACGTTCCAGATTCCAAGACGCCTCAGATGCATTGTCAACGGAGCTGTGGCGGAATGGCGAGCTGCTACCCAGCGGACTATGAATGTGAGATCCCGCCCGTTGAAGCGGCGAGGGATATAGTGGTGAGTTCGATAACGGACGTTGCAATGGGGGTCGAGCGTCCGGGCTAGAGTCTGTGGAGACCGAATGTGGAACAGGAGGCGAAGGAGTTTTATCGGAGCGTTCATCTGCCGCAATGTGCAGGGACTGCTGAAGCTGAACTTCGTCAGGGGTTGGCTCACGCTTTGACTGACGTGCTTGGGAGCCTTGCTTCTTTTTTGTAGCGGCTGTCCGCTTCCGAGCAACCTCAAGACGGGCATCGACTACTCCAGCCATCTGATCGATTCCAATATTGGGCCGTATCGACATTCGCTGAGGTAATGCTGTGGTAGTAGCAGCGCCATAGTTAAACGATGCCTGGACTGGAACGCTAGGCAAATCAGGCCCTTGCACAAGGTCCAGTATGGACTCAAATTCGGGTTGTTGATGTGGTCGTTGGGGAGTCGCGCCAGCCCGGCGCGTAGCACGTTTGGGCGGCATCTGCACTTTAATCCTCTAGAATGGATTCTAAAGGAGTGCTTTGTTCTTGTTTCGTGCCTGGTTGGGAGGTCAGCTTTTTGAGACTAGATAGGTAAAGCAAAACAGAAACAGACAATGGGACATGGTCAAAATATCAGTTGAAACCTTGGGAATACCAAACAATGACTGAGAGCGAACATCCACATGTTCATGTATCAAAACATAATGCGACATGAACTGGAATTGGCGCCACGAGAGCAAGTATGGCGGACCAGAGCCATTGGTTCCCACAAGTATTAAGCAAGAGAAAGATGCGACAATGTTTTCAGACTTACCACAGAACAGAATGTCAATGTAGACTCCGAAGCCTGTAGATCGCGACCCCGGAGAGACGCGCAGACGCGACGGGAACGTGACTTGCAGCTTCTAGCTACCAGCTTCCGAGGGTGATGGCACCAAAAAGGTCGAGGAGTGTTCGCTTTGTTTCAAGAAGACCGAGATTCTGGGTCTGGCTGCCAGGAATCCGGGGGATAACTCAGGAGGTTGGGTGAAGCGAGTGAAAAGTAGATGAGGAAAAAGGGTGGAGGCGCAACTCTGAGGATCACTGAAGAATCTCAACTCTCGACTTTCGGAGCTGTATATGTACCGTCGAGCTCTCTGCATGAAACCTCATGTTCTTTATATTTCTGCTGTTCTTTAAAGACTGCAGTCTTACTTCCATAGTCTTTGTTGGTCAGATCTCTTTGTCAACCTTGCGCCTCGGACTGGTACAATCTTGCTATTTTTGTTTCATCTGCCTTGATTGAAGGACTTTGTTCATGTATACAAATAACCAACGTGATCCTGCTCCTGATTCGCCCGGTCGCTACTAAGACATAGAATACTATACAACGGTCGCAAAAAGGTTGAGGTGAGAGAGAGCAAGGAAATGTGACCCCCCAAGTATGCACCTCCTTTTGAAAGGGGATCCTACATGTCTAACACGTCCAGGCAGCCATAGTGCCGTCTTTACGCCCCTCCACGAGGTAGCCGTCCTTAAGACAAACCCGCTCGACGGTCGCAGGGAGTGGCCCATCGTCGTCAAGCCCGACACCTGGACCGCAGTCCCAGTGGTTACCATCGGCCTTGTCGTAGACCTTGACCACACTCTCTCCGGCAGCTGCCACGATTCGTTTGGAGTCGAACATCATGTCGGTGATTGGCTTGTCGTAGGCATAAGCGTCGTAAATAGAGCCCATACGTAGATCCCAAATCTAGAACAGTTAGAAACAGTGGCTGAGCGAGAGAAACATAATCGAGTGCTTACCCGGATGCTGCGATCGAGACTACCCGTGACCAGATGCACATCGTCAAACTGTAGACATGTGACTGGCCCCGTGTGTCCTACAAGGCTACGATGGACATGACCACTGCGCAAATCCCAGAGGCGGACCATGCCATCTGCTGTACCGCATGCCAGCGCAGCGTCAAAGCACTGCACTGCGCCAATAAAGTCGGCCGAAGCATCGGGCATGCGACCCGATGGTCGCCAGTCGGAGTCTCCGGTCACGGACGACGATGACTGGGCGGACGCCCACAAAACGTCCAGAGTTTGGACACAGCGGCCTTTGACAAGATCCCATTGTCTGAGTGTCTTGTCTGCAGATCCTGAAATGAGGGTATCACCCTTGAAATGAATCGCTGTCACCTCGTCGACGTGTGCCTCGAGGGAGAATACGTTACAGTCTTCGAGGTTAGAGGACGGCGGTACTGGGAAATTGTGCTCTGCAGCTCCCTCCTCTTGGTCACGCTCATGCTTGTTGAGGCGTCCATCCCGGGTAGCGGGCCGAGCACGACTCAGGTCCCACAGCTTGACGGAGGCATCCATGGACCCTGTGGCCACGATGTTATCCATTACTTGCAGACATCGAACCGAGGCATTGTGGCCCTCCAAGAAACCGGAGCATCGGCCCCCATTCATGTCCCAAACTCTCACAGTATCATCTAGTGCAGCGCTGACCATAGTGCCAAATGGATAGTCGAAGTCGATCGCCGCGACCATGTCGGTGTGCGCTTCTATTTCCTTGATCAAAGACCCTGGGGCGAAGTGTTCATGTAGGATTGGCATCGACCGTTTCCCTAAATCTGCTGTCAGTTGTGATAGGCATACTAGACCGGAGGATTCCATACGGTTAGATCGATGTCGTAGACTTTTGGATGAAGGCGAGGGGATCTTCTCATAAATCGATTCTGACATGAACGAAGCGTCCATCGCTGGATCTCCCGACAACGCAACGGGACCATCCTGGCCGTCTGACCGCGGCGTCGCAATTGATGTGTCCTGTGATTCCTCCTCTTCTGGTAAATCTTCCAATTTATTCTCGAGATCCGTCACTGTTCGATGTTAATCAGCTTTCTCTCCATGATCCCTTTTGTTGATATGTCGACCCACGTTCTTGCTCCAATCCCGCTTCGTCCATTTCCAAGCCGGCCAATCGATCGAGGACAATCTTGCGCATTTTGTGCAAGTTGGCAACCTTGTTATCAATTTCATGGATCTCCGCACTGCACATATTCTTGCGAATTCCCATCAACTCCAATTTGCGACTCAGCGATTTCCGCTGATCCTTTAGCCCGGCCGCGCCGGCAGTCAAGGTGCCACCTCTCTCGGCGTCCTTGAGAAGCTTCCCCTTGGAGCTTCGCCTTCGGTGTCGCTTCTTCTCCGGCACATCATCTGGAACGGAGGCCTGGAAGCCTTGGAAAAGGGAGTAGGAGCTGGTATCTTCGGGGATGTTGGCGAGAAGATCGTCCGGGAGGGATGAAAGGGCACGCGACTGGATCTCGGTGGTCGAAAGCTTTGAGCGGACAAGGTCGGATGGTGTTGTTTGTGTTAGAGAGAACACCCTGCGCTGCGTGGCCGGTCGCCGTAACTCGCGGTGGATGCCGGTCATGGCATTGTGCAAGTGGCCGGTGCTCTGTTCGCCCGGACCCATCAGGTGTTCCGCGGTTGTTGTGACTTTTCGTCCGAATGCCTCAATGTGACGAGTCTGCAATCACCGCAGATGAAATCCAATCAGCCTGCAGTTTGGTGGTGGGGGTGCCATCGGAAGGTGGAAAAAAAAAGCCTACCGTTAAGCCGGTACCCAGAAGGCCGTCGCCCTCGACGATGTCTGACAGACCCGACGGCGAGTCGTCACGGCGCTGGTTCTCCATAAAACGGAGATTATCCTTGGGCTCAACCAAAACCCATGCGATATGAGGAGAGGAAAGTTGGGAAGCTTGCGGTAGGTTGAAGCAAAAGACTTGGTGTCCCACGCGGGTTTACCGCATTCCCCGGTTACTGCCGTATGGTACTTTTACAGACTGAAACCAGCCCAGGCGCCTTTTGCTTTCGACTGAATCTGGATTGTTTCGGTCCGCATCGGATCAAAATGCAAGGATGGCAACATTTGTTGATTTTAGCTCGATTGTGGTGTTCCTGCAAGTGCCTGGGTCGCATTTGGTCCAAAGTACCAAATGCCATAGCTCGTTCTATACCAGACCCTTCGAAGGCTCACGTCTGTTCACCGGTTTTTCTATTTGTAAATTGAGGAACCCTGCCTATGAGAATATGTAGGCTTTTTGACACAGCTGATGAAAATTTTCTTCTCTTCTGCGATACATAAATGGGAGGACTAGCGGAGTAAACTTGAGGTATCCGGAAACAACCTCGCAGTCCCGCAGACTCTCTCCATCTACACATCACCACATATCAAGACATGGATACCGCCATTGACCTCTCCGATGCCCTCAAGGCATTGGACCTTGCTAATATTCGATTTCAGTTGATGTGAGCTCCCACTTTCCTCTTGCTAAAAGACTCCCAACCTCTTTTCCCCGCCCCCGCTATGATCTTCAAGACACACTATATCCCGACACACTATATTCCTCAAACCCTCAAACAGCAGCTAATCTCCCAGCCCCTCAGTCGACTAGAAGACACAATTACCTTCCATTTGATCGAACGGGTTCAATTCCCGCTGAACAAGACCGTCTATGTCCCCGGCGGCGTTAAGATTCCCAACAGCGAGCTCAGTCTGCTAGACTACCTGCTCCGCGAACAAGAGCGCATACAGTCCCGAGTTCGCCGCTACCAATCACCAGACGAGTACCCATTCTTCCCGGACGTGCTTGAAGAACCGATCCTGCAGCCGCTGGAATACCCGCGCATCTTGCACGAGAACGATGTCTGCGTCAACGACGTGATCAAGGAACGGTACATCCGCGAGGTCCTGCCGGCAGTGTGTCCCAAATTTGGACGGGAGGACCGTGGTGAGACGCAGGAGAACTACGGCTCCTCGGCGACCTGCGACGTCGCTTGTTTGCAGGCGTTGTCGCGCCGCATTCATTTTGGAAAGTTTGTTGCTGAGTCGAAGTTCCAGAAAGACCCCGAGACTTTTGTGCGTTTGATCAAGGCCGAGGATCGGGCGGGGATCGATGCTGCTATTACCAATTCTGCCGTTGAGCTGAAGGTTCTTGAGCGCTTGGGTCTCAAGGCGAAGACTTACGGCACCGATCCTGCTTTTCCCGATGAAAATGGACCCAAAATTAACATTGATGCTGTCGTTGCTATGTACAAGGTGCGAAGAAACATTTGGAATTTTTCTTTTGAGTATTTGATCACTGACTTTGCTACTTTAATAGGAATGTGTCATCCCATTGACCAAGATTGTCGAGGTTGAGTACCTCATGCAGAGACTCAAGGGCACACAATGGGAGTAAGGGGCAATGTCGACTTAGATGAGGTTACGATATGACCAGTTTATCGAATATCAACATTTATGAGAACTATGTGCCCGACGCAATACTGTCCGGGGGATCTGCAGGAAACAAAAGCCAAAAGCAAGATAAGCTAGATTGTAATTTTTTTTGTCGTAAATTGAACCATGAAATGAATTAGACTGCAAAATGGTAACGTTGATTACGACATATATTGCGTAAGAGCCTTGACCATAGGTTCAAACCTAGCCGCCTCAATCAAAATCAAGCTGCCTTTCGTCCGGATACCCAGCTCCTGGAACGCACGCTTTGAGTCTGAGTGACCTTCGTCGGACTTATGAGTGTAATCAATAGAGCCAGTACACAGCGCATGGCGCTCGATAACCTCGTCTTCGGGATGGAAGAAGAAGCGCTCGGCCTTCTCACCACCCTTCTTCTTTTTCTTCTGAGGCCGCGACTCTTCCTGATCCAGCTTCGACTCGACTTCCTCGTAGTTCTTTGAGAGCACCAAGTAGTGCGAAAATGTATAGGGCTCCTTGTCCTCAACCGCCCAGGCAATCTCTTCCTGGAGCATGTTGTACATAGGGGGGACAATCTCCGACGGCATGTTGATCAGCCGCTCGGTCAGAATAAGACCGATGGGAGGGATCGTGGGTTGGGAAAGGAGCTGGAAAGCAGCGGAGAGGGACGGGTTGGAGGCAGATTTGGTCTTGAGGTAGTTGATCAGGTCCCGGACGACGGGTTTGTCCTGGGAGCAAATCATCAGTACAACGAAGAGGCGAAGATTGAGAAATCGCGAACCTTGTGTTCCTGCAGGTTGAGAATAGACAAGAATGCGTAGGGATCCGATTCATGCCCATCCACTTTCACTGTTGATCCCAGTGTTGGCTGGGAGAGAATCAAGTCCGCCAACGCGGACATGTCGAAGATCTGAGCATCGTTATCGAATAGCTGGCGCAAGAGGTTCTTCAGGCCATGGAAATCGATAGGCTGAGGGTCGAACCATTCAAACTCTACATTGACCATGTCCATGTCCTGCAGTCGCCATTATGGTTAGCAATCGGACGGCACACAGTCCGGGATGCACATCTGACCTCGTCGGAGTCGGACTCTTCTGGCTTGGTGCCGCCCATGGTGACATCACCGAGTTCTTTGCGCTTAACCATATTGTGCAAATTGAGTGTGTTCTGTCTGAGATTGGGTGAAATGGAAGTTCAAAAGTTGACCTTGGCCCCCCGCTCGGCCACTTTCGAGCTTTTTTTCGTTATCGGCTGTTATCGCGGACACAGGTCAGTGGTAGCTGCTGTTCAAGCCTATCGATTGGGTCGTGTGTTCTGTAGTGAGCTCTAAATATTGCAGATGCACTTCGAAGTCGTAAAGAGACTTGGAAGAATACTTTTTGACGTATGAGTTTCATTCACATGCTGTCTAAGGGTGCAATGACTGATTTGCTTGTACCTCAGGTATGTACAACCAACAAGGCACAACTAAAATTCGAACTCTCAAGGTGCCTGTCGCTTTATAGGAATATTTATTGGTATGCTATGCAATTCAAACAAGTTAAACCCCACGAACCATTGCTTCTTGAATCGATCCTCCAAGTCTAAACATCATACTCAACTGCCTGAACAGTGGGCACTTTGTGAAGCTTAACATCATGAAACTGAGCGACAAGCTGCACACAATCCCAAATAACCCGGACCTCTTCCTGAGGAACACCAATGCGCCTCGTACCACGAATGTGCCAATGGGTCTCCTTCGGCAGGTTCTGACTCATGATACCAGGCAGCACCACAAGCTGTGTATCAAGATCATCCAAGACCTGACGATCCGACAAAAACAACCCGTAAGTGATGTCCTTGGACAGCCAAGAGAAATCCTTATGCGCATTGAATAGATCCAGCGTGTCTGTCGTGTTATGCGCGTACAGCGTCTGCAGCCACCCTGTGCCCCGCTTGTGGTTCGCCTCATCACATTGCCATCCCTCGCGAGTGAAGGTGAAATCCTTGTCCTCGTCGCGCTCGACCTCGCTAATGGCCAAAATTGCCTCGATGGGCCTGCAAACTCCGACGATGGGAACGGATTTGACGAGTGCCTCGCGCAGCCGGCGGATCAGGGCTTGCCGGGCTGCTGAGGTTGCGTAGTCTGCTTGCTGAGTAAGGTGGAGGTAGAGCTGGTCTGCTCGTGCTGGATCTGGGCTGGCAACTAGGGTGGAAATGGCTAGGATGTACCATTTATCACTGCCCAGAGTAGTTGATTTGAAGCGGTTCTCTAACTCGGTGAAGAGTTGACGGTAGCGGGGTTGGACTTCTGGTGTAGCGGTGGAAAACCCCATGATTGTTCTTGGGGGATGATATAGGAGAAAAATTGAAATGATGCTGGGCTTCAGCTGCAGCTTGCTGACTCGGTTTGGTAATCGAGAGAACATGGGGTACTTTTGTACAACTACGATGTTCATTACAACGTGAAGCTGGTGATCCCCGCCTCAATCGCAGTGCACCCCGATGACTACGGTGGATCGCTGTAGGTTCAAAGCATTTTGTATGAAACCCTAGTAGAAAAACTTGATCTTTCATTTCATTTATTTCTTAGGATGTGTGACCTTCGGGTATGATGTACGTCGAAAAAAGAAAAGAGATGTTATCTTCGATTTGCGAGTGTTCCTGTGTCAGAAAGCGAGACAAGCCGCTTGCAGACTGGATAGATCACACACTCCACGAAAAGATGATCTAAGATGAACTTGATAGAATGGTTATCGGTCACAATTCAAACGAGCAACCAAAACAACCTCTTGAATCAATAGGAGTACACAGTGCCTTAGCTACGTACGTGAACAAGCATTAAGTGGGGCGGATACCACGTTAGCTACCGGAACTCGACTTGCAACGCTAAAAAGCATCAACAATGTCATGGAGCAATGCTCAGCCTTGATTGCAACGACCTTTTCTTCAAATCCGAACCCCAGAGAAGGGCCCAGAGCAGATGGGATCAGAAATAGAGAAACAGGGATCTTTTGTCATTGCCCCCAAACCGGACTACGCCCCACTATGATTTCAGTGACTCCAGCATGACATCACAGCAAACAGAGGCAAGTATAAGAATATTTCCATTGCTAAAGAATCCAATCAAGTTCCTCTTCTATTCAAACAAATCACTGCTCTCACAATCGTTAGCAACCTCCCAACCTCCCAACCTCCCAGCCTCCCAACAGTCCCCAAGTCCTATCTATATCGACACAATATGCCAAATTTGACAGGCAAAGGTCTACACAACGGGCCATCAAACTTATCAGGCTCGGGTCATTCTAGTGTCGGAAACCCCAGTATCTACGAGGCAGGCGATCAGCGCAACGTCCCTGTGTCCGAGCTCCAAGAGCGCGCCCGTTATGCAGAGGGCATGCCCCATAGCCACAAGAATCTTGATCCGAAAGATGGCCGCTCCATTGCCAACAAACTTGCTTCCCAGGAGAACAAGCCCAACTCCTCCCAGCACCACAACGAGTACGATGCCGAGGCTGAGTTGAGCAAGCAAGATCCAACCAAGCCCGTAAGTGATATATCTCCACGTGTCGGCTCATATGAAAAGCCTGGATCAAGGTAAGACGCATCTATTAACATGGATTTTGATACAGGCTAAGTTGCATGGCAATGCTCCCTCCAAGGGTGCTAAGATTGATGCTGAGCTTAAGGCTGATGATGAGCAGCGTCTGAAAGACAAGGGGATCAAGCACTAAATTTATTTTATTCTGATTTTTTGTTGCTAGACAAAATTACCCCCTCATGTCTTCTGATTGGAATTGAATGTTCATCTTCCAGGGATTGAAGGGTTGATGGTGGAACGTGATATAGGATAATTATGATATCTGGTCTTGATGGCCTCTTGGAAGGGTAACGGGACACTGAATGATTCCCTACATCAAAGATATGACCGATGGGAGTTGAGTGTGCATAGCTTCATTACTAGAAGCTCTTGAAACAAGTATAGTATAGTTACCTAGGTGCCCGCAATAATGACTTTTGGCCATTACGGATACCTTGGCATAATCTAACGCTGTCACTGGGAATGCTCTTCGTAGATACTTCTGCTTGCTACGGCACAGAAAGTGGCGTCACATACGTACGTACACTAACACTTCTCTACGAATCGAGAGCCAGTAGGGTAGTAGTCTAGATGAGGTAAAAAATGGTTCCGATCCAGGTATATCATTGTAAAATGTAGGAACAAAAAGAAAAAATCTCATGAGATCGTTTTGTAAACACATTTATCCGATGGGCACAAGACCCGAGATTTCACGAGCCAAGCTATTATACAGTCTATACAAAAGTTTTGTAACAGGCATCAATTACCGGTAACCGTTCCAACACTGGGTATGGTTTATTTCGCCAGATGAAAATGGCTTGATCAAAGACCTTCACCGCCAACCAAGGCAATGCTTATAACCGCCGCCGAGCCAATGGAAGACATATATCTGGAGCAATTGGATATAAGCCAAACACCGGAATCCTGTTCGGGAGACGGGGGGAAGGGGATGGGAGGCTGGGCTATTCGAGGAGCGGTCCAAGGCACAAAGTGTGCTAGTGAGACCTGTGATCAACCATCCAAGGTAAACTTGGGATCGTCATCATGCGGCTCAGCAAAGACGTGACCCCAATATTCCTCGACTCTCTTGCAAAGGCCCACTTTGTTCTCCCACGTCTTGAAGGCCGTTTCGAGCGTGCAGCTCACCCATTTAATCTCCTCCCAGTAAGCCCTTTCGACATCGTATCCAAATCGCTTAATGGTCGCTGGGGGTGCCGTCCAGGCGCGTCCATCTGAGCCGTCCTCCTTCAACGTAGGTGTTGTTTCCCAGCCCATGCCGAAGATCCGGTCGCCGGGGTTGAACTTGGGGTAGTTTGCATGGATGAAGAAGACGTGTGGTGCAGGGGCAACGGACTCGTCTTTTACGCGCCATTTGTCCTGCTGGATCAAGGCAAAGTCTTCGCGCGGATCTGACTGTGCCATGGCGGATCCAGACAGTCCATCCGCATTTGCGTGTCCGATGGCTTGCACCCTTTCACTGACGGTGTAAAAAGGCGCACCTACAGCAGAGGCAGCTTGGATAAAGGTTTCCTTGTCTCCCTCGCCAGGTCCTCCTTGACTTAGCAGGCGGAAATAATGCGAGGGGCCGTAAAAGTTATAGTATGCCGCCAGCAAGAGAGCTAGTAAGTGGGTTTTCTTAGAGACTAAGAATACCCCGGTCTCTGACGACTGGCGGGCGTTCATAGATGGCGTCCGTTGGCGTGAAATTCTATAGTACAACGGAGATGCGGAGGAAGCCCAGAAGTCGGGCCATGTGACAAGACCATTGGTTTTGAATGGCTCCGAGTCGAGCAGTTCCTCAGGCTTGCCAAGAGGGAAGCAGTCGGCATCCATCCAGACAATCTCTTCAAAGGACGAGAAAAGAACTGCGAAGATCTTGAGTTGATAATGTTCAATGACATTTTTCCCGACCACCTCCGCTAGCACCAAGCACCGCGCGTCGAGTTTGGGGAGTATCTCGTTGCAAACATGTTTCTCGTGTTCGGTGGCATCCTTCATGAAGAGTTCAACCGGCAACGTTGATCCCGCGCGGCGCAGCATGCGCAGCGACGAGACAAAAACGGGGAGGTACGTGGAACCAGCTGTCGATACCAGTCCTCGCTTGCCTGGGGTATGAACCGGTTTCAATTCTTTGTCCGACTTCTTGACATCCTCGATGAAGGCCGCATGAGCTTCTTCCATTCTGCGTACATTTTCCTCACTCAGGCCCGTCAGGTCGGGTCGCGGTACTTCTTTGGTGGGGTCAAAGTGTTGAGCTGCGGCATCGCCGCGCTTTTCTGGAGAAGGGCAACTTGGTTTGTGGCGTTCAATTATGGGTCGGAGGACTTTCCAGAAGTCTTTCTGGCGTTCCGTGAGGGGAACCTCGAATGCTGTGTTTGGGACTAAAGGGACGGTAGAGGATGCGGCGGTCGGGGACCGGTAGACGTAGATGGTACACACTAGAATCACAGTGAGCATCGCGAGTAGGAGCGCTTTCGCTCTCCCAGGTCGCAAAGCACACATTATTGCTAGATAGTTCGGGTGACTGCGCTTTCATCCAGGAGTTCAGGGAGCGGCACACGGCCACGCCGATCGACTTTCACACAGTCAAGAAAGGGTCAAGGGTTTCATAAATCGCCCGATTCTCAGAGCACGAGGGCCGGGTTGTTAATTGTGGCGCATTGCTCCAGAGACTCCGGGCGGAAAGAAGATAGGCCCACTGGGCTTGGCAGGTCTACGCAATGAGCTACGTATGTCCAAGACTGGAACATTGTTTGGAATTTCGCTAATTTGATTTTATCAATGTTGGATCATCCGAAGAGTTCCATGTTCCCATCTTGGATATGAGGTATGAAATCTGTGACATGAACCGGGTCTATACCTGAAAGCCGAGGTCTGCTAACTACAACATAGTTAAGCACTCGCTACAAGGCCAACAAGGCATGCTAATGGAACAAGATTGAATCAAAGCACATGTGAGACACTTGAGGGATATTGTTCCAATGATATAAATGGTTCCGAGATCATCGTGGACCCATTTGCCTTTTTGAAAAGCCGCCCCAATCCACCCTGGCCAGTTCTTCCTAAACGACTAAAGCGCGGATCAGCCTCCACTGGGGAAGATCGCATATCCACCCCCCAACCCTTCTCCATCATATTGTTCCTTCTTTTCCAGTCTGCAGAACTCCCAAGGTTAACTCTTCCTATTTAAATTAGTCTATCCTCTCCTTCCCCCCCCCAAACCCCCAGTTCGAATTCGCCGACCTCGTGGGTTTCGATGTTTCCGCCCCCATTACGAATCTTCCCCCCAAATTAATCTACTCCTCGTGGAACATCCATTACTCCAATCGAATAGGTCTTTCAGGATCTAAACGGATGGACTCCATACGGGCATTGCCCACGCCCGTCCAGAATGGCCGCCTCTGATTATGCAGATCGTCCCTCGCAAGACCCCGCGCCCAAGGGAAAATCCCGCAAAACCGACCTGAACGCTCCAGTCCGAAAACGCCGCAAGAGAACCGTGATCAGCGGAGCCTCAGATGATTGCTTTGCTTGCTCCAAGCGAGGAGCACGGTGTGATCGACGACGGCCCTATTGCTCCCAGTGCCTCGACCTCGGCCGCGAATGTTCCGGATACAAGACGACACTAACATGGGGTGTTGGAGTCGCAAGTCGAGGGAAACTCCGGGGTCAGAAGCTTCCGGTGATGGAACCGGAAGGGAAATCGTCGGGAAATTCTGCGAAATCACAATCGAGGTCCTCAAGCTGTAGCGGCCCGTCTTCGTCACAGGTACCTGGCAATGCTTCGGCCGGGGTACCTCCGTCCAACGGCCCTGCAATGGCATCGTTTGGTACCGGGACGCCAAGTGTGAAACTGGAAGGTAGCCCGCCGACGATGCCTGCTGCATTCGGCATGTGTTGCAACATGGCTTGGACGATGGACATGCCAGATCCGCAATCATGGTCGAACACGCTTGCTGCCCCGCCTGCGATTTCAGGACTTCCATTAGCCAGTCGGCCAATGATGCCCAACCATGCAAGCCAAAACATGACCCCGGAAACACCATTGCTCTATGCTCCCATTCAGAGCCCGGCGTCTAATTCTGGTTCTCTGGTGTGGCCAACTGCAGTCCCATTCTCATCCCAGGCTTTTACTCCTCCAGCGTCACAAGGCGCGGATGAAGAGGATGTCAAATCCGATCCCAATTATCATGTGCTTTGGAACGCGGCCCATTCTCCATCACTCTCGCAGCTCCTCTTGGCACGGTCTGTGGGGCGGACCCCGCGTCTCCGTTATCTCATCAGTTACTACGCCGAAGTCATTGCTCCCATAATTGTTGCCTTCGATGCCCCAACAAATCCCTTCCGTACTCACATTATACGCTTGGCGATGGAGAGCGAGGCTCTGCAGGAGGCGATTGCAACTTTGGCTACGAGCAACCTACGCCAAAGACGACAGCACAATCACCTCTCTACGGAACGAACTCTGCCGGCACGCATGTCATCAATGGCTCACCGTGCCCTCACCGATGAAGATTTTCACGATCGATATGGCATCTCAATGGTCGAAGGTTATATCAGAGAAGAAAATCACCATCGAGGGATGGCCGTCAAGGCTCTAAATGCTGATTTGGCCGACCCTCATCGTAGACTGTCCGACTCCGTACTCGCAACTTTGTTAATGCTCTGTCTTTTCCATGGCTGCGATACTGGTGTTGCCGAATTCCGTGCACAGTTTGCTGGAGTAACAAGACTGCTCGCGATCCGCATGCGGCATTCCCGTGTCGTAACGGATGATCTCAAATGGTTCATCCGCATGTTCTCGTGGTTTGATACGTTGACGGCAACTACTAATGACCGTGATGTGCAGCTCCGCGGAACTTGTTTGGAGATCAGCTCCATAACAGATGGAGAATGGGGTCTGGAGAACCTGGCCGGCTGTGATGGCCGTCTGTTCAAGCTGATTTCTCAGCTGGGCCGCTTGAATCTTCTCAGTCAGGATCAAGAGCCCAACCTTTTGCGCCCCAGTGACGCTGCTGTCCCCACCTCCTCCCTCCCTCCTAACATGTTGTTCCCGGGATGGGAAACAGTTGTGCCCAATCCAGTCATGGGCCCTTCACCGGAATACGGCTTTTCTCTTCCCACGCCGCCGCAAAGCAGTGACTCGTCCCGTCGTCCTTCCTCTCCAGAATTCTGGACAGAGTGGTATTCGCTCAGGCAGCGACTCGAATCTTGGCGATTCGACCCACCTGCTCAGGCTGCTTTCCCCTCTCCACCCTTATCTACATCTACAATGACTTGGAACTCTACTGCTTATGTGACGCCACAAACCTCCTCGTCGGCATATCAAGTGGCACCGGAGAATCTCCAGGACGTCTACCAGATCTCGGAGTGTTTCCGCCATGCTGCCCTTCTCTACTGCGAACGTCTAGCCGAGCCGACCCTTCCATCATCCCATGGCCGTATCCAGCACCTTGTTCAGCTGGCTATGCACTGTCTCATTACCGCACAATCGGATGTATATCTTCTCTGGCCCCTGTTCATTGTCGGCTCGGAGTGTGTCCAGGACGATCACCGTTCAATCATCCGCAATCGCTGCAAGGATATCTCCAAGGACTCTGGCTTTATCAACAACCTTTCCTGCCTAGAGCTTCTGGAAGGGATATGGGCTGAGCATTCCGATGAATCTTCATCTCCAATTTATCCTAGCGGGGTTTGTCCCCCGCCTCCGCTGGCTGGCGGCAGGGCACCAGCTTCATCGCAGGCCTTCCGTTGGTCCCGAGTCATGCAGGCCAAGCGGGGGGGCGGCGAGTACATGGTTGCATAGACAGTTCACATTATATCCCCCCTTTTTTAATCTCCGCTAAAGCTAAATGCTTGCGATTTCAGCTTCACGACATTCTGGTGGGAGAACTCCTTGGATTTTTCCTTGTTTGAGGATCAGCGATTTGCGTGTTGAGTTTTGACAAACATGATACCACTCACTCTATATGCAGAAAAATTGCCCCAAGCCAACAACATCTACATTGTACAGACTGGCGTTTCTTCTTTGGGGGTTGTTCGGGGCTTAAATAGAATTAAACATGCCTGCACATATACCTGCCAAACTAGGATAGCTAACCAAATATATGGGCTAAGTCACAATCTTGTCCATGCATAAACGTTATGAATCAACGGCCTCACCGTCCACCTAAAAATTCACAAGCAAGCCATGGTGATCTGATCCATTTGAACCAAAGTTCTTTGGGAGACGTTGTTCCGAACAAAATCTACATTCTAAACTACCAAGGTCCAAAAGCCAAATAGGGGCTGGTCCAAGCCACTCAGAGATGACCAAAATGTGTCGAAGTAATGAGCCTGCATGCGGAAATTTAGGGGGGAGGGGGGGGGGGGGGAAAGGCGCACTAGGACCACCACAAGACAGCCAACATAAGCCCACTCTCCTCTCTCGAATCCCACGGCGCAACGACAAAAGTATCACTCAACACCTGGCAGAAACCTGGACTGCCAGGCACCTACGGAGTACATACGATATAGGGCACAGGGCAAGGGCAGCCGTCCAAGCCCTAAATATGATCAGCACGCACAATGAAAACTTCAACGGCGTAATACACAAGCCCCAGATCAATAATACACGTACGAAGAAGTACCCTCGAGGATTTCCCGGACCGCTATGATTCTAACGGGGCCTAGAATGCCAATGGCAAACCCCAAAACGGGTTCTAGGTTTTGTTTTGATCCTCCGCCGGCCAAGCCGACCTCCGCTCGTGCAAGGGGTGGTAGATAGATAGGATTCTGTCGCAAATACGATTCATGTGATATAGCTTTATGGATCTTGTGCGGAGCATGCGTGCACGTTTGATTAGATGGCTAGGGGGCAAGGAGTTGGCGGGCTTGATATCAAAAAGCAATTTACCGGTCAACCCCCATTGAAATCCGCTGTTTGCTCCGTACGGAATCCACAGTATCCACACGGCAATCCGGGCGTCCACCCTATACCCTAAACCTGATTGTCTCGCAAGGGTGTTGAGCCGTCCAACCGCGCTTTGAGCATACGAATCGTAGATGATACATCGGATGTAGGCCATACTAAGCTTACCCACTGTGCGAGTCGCGTGTCATACGAAAGGCACGGGATAAGAATCAAATAAAGCCACCGAATTCGCTCAGGGGAGAGGGTGTACAAAGATTTGTGTGCGTGTCCCCGTGCGCCAGTTCAAGGTTATGTGTCTATAGCCGAGGGACTATGCGATTCGGCTTCCAGACGTTAACCCCCCCCCCCCCCCCCCCCCCTCGGCAGCCTGGTCCGCGGGCTTGTTGGAGTTGGTTTGACGCTTCAAACCTCGTTACAGAAATTCCATGCCTCTTAGGCGACTTGGCGTTGCGCATTAAAGCAAATGAAACAATTTGTCAACTTGTTTTATTTCTTATTGTTTGTGACCGGCTGAAATCAGCTTGGTTGGAGTGGCGAAATAAGTGAGAATTAGGGGCGTTGACGAGTCAGACCTGTTAAACGCTGAATCGTCTACGGAGTATGGTGGGCAGATACATTCCGCATTCCTGGTTTTATTTTTAATTTTTTTTAAAAAAAAAAATCTACTGCTTGCATGTGAGATTTTATCGATACCATCCAAAAAAAATCATGTTACTACAACACAGGTGGGTTATTTGATCAAGTCCCTTTTGCATAATAAGAAATTTAAAAAAAAAAGCCATGTGCAACCCTAGATGATCGGCAGCGTAGGTCAGGTCTTTGCCTTCTGTTTGGCTGGTTGGCTAAGACAGGGGGGATTCTCGAAGGGTTGAGTCAATCAAGAAAAGCAAAACCTTCGAATCAGGGGTGGACCTGGGATTCTTTGGTATGGGCAGTAAGGACGCGCTGGAAATTCCGCCTCTCATCCCTTCACTTGGTGCGTGAGCGTAAAATTTAGGTTGTTTTTTTTTGTGTTTTGTGGTATTGTTGGCTGCGCAAAGTTGCGGTGGTCCTGTTCTTTACGTTGAACATACAGAGGCATGTACACTGTTTCAAAGAGTAGAGAACTGTTGTGCGGAGTAGAAATCGCTGATATATGTATATATGTGGAGTCTATATATTGGTGCTGGTAATGACGCACACTGCATTTCTGATAGCGTTGGTGTCAGACCAATCCCAAAAAGGCAGACTAGGGCTAGAAATGGTGTGTGATCGCAACGACAGCGAGTCGCCTTTTGTTTATCACCCCATGCTGAAACAATGAATCATTAGCACTCAAATGTCAAAAATGGGTGAATAACAGCTTGGTTATATAGATATGACTTCATTCTACTTGTGCTTGAAGGACTCTGCCCCCCCCCATTATGCGGCTTCGATCCTAATGCGTTGTACACAGCCGCTGCGCATCCCTCGATTTTAGACTCGATAATAAGTTGGTTATACCATTTTTACCGCGAGGCAGAAGCTTCTTCAGGCCACTCAGGACCATATTGTTCAGACCTAAGAAGCAAGTTGCGGTCTGAAAAATCTCTCTGTTTTTGCCCAAAAGATGGCGGTTGCTGCCCAGCGACGGCAGCGGTAAAGCCCATGCAGGGCCCGTGATGTCGCCCAAGATGGCAGTGCGAGGTCTGTGTAAAAGATATACTTATAGAGCTCTTTAGTCGTTTCTTTTGCCGCAACAAGGTGTCGATACAGGTTGCAGATAGTGTCCTTGGAATAAAATAACAATGTCCAAATTGCCTGGGGGGGGGGGGGCTTAGTGGAGTCTGAACCACTGGACGAGACGGGGTGAGCCGTCGTAGAATTTGGGATGCCGTCAGTCCAACCATGGAACCAGCTTTAGTTTGCTCGATCGAGTACTGCATGCATCCAGCGCTGCCTACGGAGTACATGAAGCAGTAAGAACATATATCAGTGATTACTACTCCGTACTAATAGAGAGTTTTGCTTCATGTGATTAACATTAAGTACCTGAGTGCTGTTTACAGTATTCTCCGTGTTGCTGCAACTAATGATGGCGTTGATGCAGATGAACTCTACGAGGCACAGAAAATGCAGTCTAGTTCTAGAAGTCGAGCGCATGGCTTTGCGATCATCCAACCCAGCCATGACACACCAGCTGATGGGTCTACATTGGTCTCATCGCCAGACAGCTTCAAGGCAGTAAGATCTTAATGGAATCACACTACGTCTTAGTGGCGACAGTCACGCCTGGTTTTTTTTTTCCCCTTTGCTGTGCTCAGAGCGAGTCAGTCCTCAGGAGCCTAAAAATTCTTTCTGGGCAGTTGCCTTAGGACCAGAAAAGTCAAAAACACCGAGGAAAATGCAGTTGTCCGTTGCCCGATTCAACTGACGGGTTATCAACTAAGCGGTTTGCATATAGCGTCCAATGGAAGCGTCTCCATCTGGGCTAGCTTGAGGGGTAGCGACATCGAGACTTCATGGTACTTTGGCTGTGGTAGCCTCGCAAGTGAGATGGAAAGTACCAAGTTCTAGTGGAATGGTGAGCTGATGGTATTTGCAAGGTTGCCACCCGAAGTTGAGTCATAAAAATGTAATAGCTGAGCTCGAGCACAAGGTATAAAAGAAGGGCCTATCGTCCAGAAGCAGGGAATGCTATCTTCCACCATTTTTTATTTTTTAATAAAAAGAGAGTTCTGGAGGAAATGAATACGGAGCTCGGACGGAGAGTAAAATACCGTGAGATCTTCAAATTTCAATACCCGTAAGAAAGAATCCAAATACCACGGCCCACAACGCCAACTCACACGCACCGACCACTAGTGGATGCACTGATTGGCTTGCGCTAATCTCGCTGGCGCTGACACTGGGATCCATCTTCCTTTTTCCCTTTCATCGGGTTGAAATTTTTCACTCTCCACCTATCTCCACTGAATTTAAAGCTATTATATCTTTTGGAGAGGAGGTCTCTCTGCTCTTTGTTTGCCTCAATCTTCTCTTTATCATAAGGAGATATTGGGTCCTAGGATCCCCTAAACCCACGCACACTCTCTTTTCCTTGGATTGACCGAACAACGTTCAAATGCTCTCTCAGCACATTCAGTTTCAATCCTCATCTCTTCCATCGGAAACCGTACCGCGGTGACGGTCCTACTAAAAAAAAATCCCCTATCTGACCTGCAGTCTAAAGTGGGCGTCAATCTCTGTTTAGGTGCACGATATCCTGTATAATATCTCGGTGTTCTTAAATTTTTTTTGGGCTGATTTCATTAAACTACCTTTGGATTGTTTGAACTTCTGGCTTGTTGCCTCCCATTTTTTTTACATTTATCTGATCGACTGGTGCTCCATATGCTCGCGCGATAATGTATCATTACTCCAGTCCTCCGCCCGGGTGGTCAGCCTACGACTACACTCAATCGCCTCCCACCTCTCCCCAATACGCCTACTACGCCTCTCAGTACGCCAACACCTACGCTTCACCCCGGGGCACCTCGCGACGACACAACCGCAAGGCCAGTTACACGACCACCAAAGAAACACCGTGGTATTCATCGGGCTACCCACAAGGCTACTATGAAACAACTCCAGACCATGGCATTCCACCGCGAAAGCACGATCATGTAAGTGCTTCTTATGCGGAAAAGCCCATACACCGATATCCCTCGACCGGTCATCCTACGGGGGATGGCTTCGGTAATGGATACTGCCCGTCGCAATCGCAGGCTCGACCCATCTACGTAGATGTGGTCGACGAAGCATTCGATGTCCCGCGCCCCAACGCCCGCAAGCCCCGTACCGGTCGCCCAGGCCATCCCCCGGCCTCGAACCCCACTCGAGAAGGCTCTAGCCAACATCGTCGCGCCACCTCGACCTCTAATCGCAAATCAAATCCAGCTGATTCCCATTTTTACTTCACACAGGATATTAACAACGAGGATATCGAAGCGGCCCGACGCTCCCGAACCAGGCGCCAATCCACATCAACGCGCACTCCCAGCAAACCCAAACCACCACCTGCCACCGCCAAACCGCCACCCACCGCCACCGAACATGACGCCGAGGCCGCAGGGATCCCAGCAGGCTATTCGATCAAAAACTGGGACCCAACCGAAGCGCCGATCATTTTGCTTGGTAGTGTGTTTGATGCGAACTCCCTCGGAAAGTGGATCTACGACTGGACCATCTTTCATCATGGGGCATCGACGCCCATGGCCGATGTCGCGGGCGACTTGTGGCTATTGTTGATCAAGCTGGCGGGCAAAGTAAAGAGGGCGGATGAATGCCTCCCTCGCATTCAACGCGTGGAGGCGCAGGAAGTTGTGGAAGATTTCCTGGAAAGTGGCGAGCGCCTCTGGTCCCGATTCAAGAAGCTTCTTAAGAGCTGCGAACTTTACATGTGGAAGGCCGCCAAGCGAGAAGGTGGCAAAGGGCCCGTCTCAATGGGTCGCAATGCTGGTTGTGAATTTGTCGAATCGATTTTCGGTCGTGACCGTGAGCTTGAAAATACCGAGAAGCTCATGAATAGTATTCGACTTTGGAATATGCGATTCGACGCCAACTGCGATGACATTCTGCGCCGACCGGCGGCTGCTTAGGATGCTTTCTTCGCTTTTTTTTTCATTTTTACTACCGACTGCCAGGGAACGATACCCCATATGAGACCGAGACTTTCCCACTATTACTTTTCTTCTCGACAATTGAAGCATTTCACATTTGTTGAATCGCATTTGGAGCGTATTGCTTTGGCTTCGGCTGGATTTGCTCGTCGCTTTTTTCCGTCTGTTTTTTTCCCCCATCCATCGGCTGATCTTGCCCAAGGTTCGACACAATAGATCATCGTTTTTGCTTTTTGCTTTTTTTTTGGTGCCGGCGCCTAACGCTTGATATCGTTTCTTTTCTAGGACGGCGTCGTTTTGGTCTCTTCTATTCCATCTCTGGCGTCCTTGTTTAATCTTTTCATTTCTGGTCGTCAAGTCCGTTCTGTCTTGCCGTTGAAGTCCGTGTCACTCTGCTTCGATGATACCATCTTGCGATTTCTTATAAACGTGCTTGTTTCCTTTGTCTCTAATTTCCTATGTCCCTCGCATTACAGCTCCTTGCTACTTATTCTGCCCTTGATTTGATGTTTGGTCGGAGAAACCGGGTTGTACATAGGAAAAAAAACCAACACGACCCAGATGTCCGATAGACCAACCCGGACGCTCGTTAATACTTTCTCATTCCATCCCAAGTTTCTTAAATGTAATGTAAAAATCGATCCTATTTCCACGTAGTGTTAAAATCTACTAAACCCCCAAAACAGGTTGTGATGTGATAGCCCTGGAGCTACCCCTCACCACAGCGCCTGCGTAATGCAAGTACTTACATCGTACAGTGTGGATAACTACCCCGCCTCGTAGAACCACAGAAAGCCCATGGAATCGCCTCGGGGGAAGCCGTTGGTTGCTCGTTTTTCCAACGTATGAAAGACCTATTTGATCGGTTACTGGCTGTACGCTCTCCAAAGCACGTACTATCACTCCAACCTTGGAATGACGGCGGCTGATGTCCCATTTCACCTAAGTGTAGGTACTAGTGTGGGATCAACTTGGGGGTTTTTTTTTCTCATGCAGGTTCTCGCAGCTGCCATTGGCTTTTTTTTAAAAAATTTAAATGCAGCACGCACGTTGGTTGGGTGTCCCCGAGGATGTGGCGACCCTATCATTAAATGAGAGGCGGTTGCGTGCATGGATTCTGGATTTGAATTTGGATTGTGTGGTGATGCTGATGTCGAATTATTCTCCATCCATGGTGGCTATTAAATTTACTTATGGCGATTGATTTGGAGGTGTTTGATTTGGTATCGATCGAAGCGTTGGGAAGGGACACTCTTGATTTCGCAGATGTTTAACAAGCTAAGACTTGGTTCATAACCGTGCTGCTTAATTCAGGGTCATATCGAGCTTGGGAAACGTTTCAAGGTTGGCTCCGAAGGTTGAGAAGCAAAGATGTCTTCATCTGTTGTGGACAGACATGGAAATCATAACCGTCCGACCTTGACAGCATAAGCCCACTTTTCCCGCCGGAAGATTGCCTATGGGAATGCAAGTCCATGTGGCCATGCAACCTTTATTTGCCCTGTCAGACCTTGTTTTGGTGTTCCTTATAACGAATTTGCCTTGTTCATCAGAGTCAACAACTTCTTCAATTCCCATGTTCGGTGTTCTGGGAGGAAACTCACGTCATGATCCATGGATGACGCACGTGGGCCGGTCACGGGACCTCCTTGTCAGAGTTGATCGTTGACATCATTTGCTATGCGCAAATAGTGCTTGAACCCTCGAATTGACATTGGAAGATGCTTAGCTGAGATATTACTCGAGTTGATCTTCTTCGAAGACCTGCTTGAGAGTCAACAACTAGCAACACTCCTACCTGTCTTTTCTGCTCTCCTGATGCAATCTCACGGGACAGATGAGCGACCGTTGAAATCTCCTTTAATTCAAATATCTGGTTCCTGAAAAGTGACCCAGTGCTTCGAAAATACCTGAGAGTCTTAGCCTCGGACCTGTGAAGATCTTTCGACTTGCAACTGCCCCGGCATTAGGCACATGGTCATGCTAGATGAACCATGCATCATGGATCTACAAAAGTTGAGATGACCACAGAAGACAAGTCTCGTGGGCTATCGCTATGGGAATGGATCCGGGCCCATTTTCATATGAGACCACCTGAAGATGACGAGCCACAGTCATGGTGGATTGCATCGACGGCCATCCCGCTGGTTGCTGCTGCAACGGGACCACTCACCAATGTCATGTCAATCGTTGCGCTGGTTATGCCATGGCGAAGCAAAATTCTCTCAATTGAACCTACTGCTGCTGGAACATCTGCCCAAGAAGGATATCCAGACCCTCATTGGTGAGTACAAAGCGAGAGGGTGTTGCGTCTGAATTAGGTTTCTCTAACACCACGAATAGGGCCACTGTCCTAAACGCCATTTCTCTCTGTTGCGGAATCGTGGGTAATGCATTCTTACTGTTCAATTTTACCCAGATCGTACGCTATATTATAGCTTTGCCCGTAACGATCGTTTTGTGGTTCACGGCGGCGGGAATCGTGAGTAGTGTCTCTAGTTTTGTATGTCCCAGACCTAATGCTTTTTTGTGTGGGTAGCTTTGTGGAACTACCACAGCCATAGATGTCTATGCACCCCCGGTAGGCATTGATAGGGTCTACTCACAGGCCTATTGGAGCGCCGTCATTGCGGCAGTTCTTTACTTCATCCTGAGCGTCGTCTTGATGATCAACATGCTGGGTTATTTCCTGGGTAAATACCCACAACATTTCGCTTTGACCGGCGAGCAACGGACCTTGATTCTACAAATGACTGCAATGGTGGTTTGGCTGTTGATAGGGGCAGCCATTTTTCAACGAGTACTCAAGATTTCGTTTGCTGATGCATTGTTCTTCTCCGATGTCACCGTGCTCACATTAGGGTATGGCAACATAATTCCCATTAATGCCGTCGGTCGGGGTCTTATTTGGCCATATGCGGTCATCGGAATTATCATCCTCGGATTGGTTGTGGAAAGCATCTTTAAATTTGCTCGCGAGGTTCACTATGACAATGTCATTCGGAAACACATTGAGCAGAAGCGGCAATCCACTTTCGAGCGATCAGTGGATTTTCAAGAGCTAGACTCTGCTCAACAGAAACGCCCAACTGGGGGACAAGTGATCACTCCTCCAGATCTCGCTCGCCAAAAATCCGAGCCTCATCGCCGTCTGCATCATCGGCCAATTCGCAACACAATCAACGCCCTTGCCACGGCTCGCCGACCCAAGATTCTTATCATGCGCGAAGAAAAGGATCGGTTTGAAGCCATGCGCCGTATCCAGTACGATACCATGCGCTTCCGTCGCTGGAACAATTTGATCATCAGCATTGTTGCATTCGGGATTGTGTGGTCTTGCGGAGCAGTGGTGTTCTGGAAATTAGAAGCAATGACCTACTTTGAATCCCTCTATTTTTGCTTCACCTCCCTGCTAACCATTGGCTATGGTGACTTCACACCGGAGTCAAATCCCGGAAGACCTTTCTTTGTGGTATGGTCTCTAATTGCTATCCCAACCATGACAATGCTCATTTCCGAGATGACCGACACGGTCGTCGCCAGCTTCAAGCGCGCCACTGAAGTAGTCGCCGACTACTTCGTCCTTCCTCAATCCCGTGTCTACAAGACATGCTTTGGTCGGATCCCCGGTCTTGCCCAGTTCTTACTGTTTCGCCAAGAGAGAAAGCGGCAAGAGCGCGGTTTCCCAATTGAGGGGGCTGATGAACCCGACTGTGGAGAAGGAGCGGACTCTGAGGAGGCTGGTCAATATAATAATACTGGAAGCGACGACCTAGCCGAGGCTCATCCACGTCGAAGCCTCGAGGAACTTGTCCGCGAACCGACCACACCTGAGCTTACCCAGCAGCTTGCCTTCGCGATCCGCCGCACCTCTAAACAGGCACGAGAAGGCAAGCGAAAAAGATACTCCTACGAAGAATGGGTCGAATTCACTCGCCTCATTCAGTTCACGGATCCACGGGCTCGGACACCACTACAGAGAAACCAGCCGGCAAATGAGGAACGTCTTTCTAATGATGAAGACGATTACGGACTTCTCAATTGGGACTGGATTGGCGAGAACAGTCCCATGCTGGCAAAGCAGACAGAGCCTGAGTGGGTTTTGGATCGGTTGTGTGAAAGCTTGATTCGGTACGTGTCGACTCAAGAAAGCGGGGCTGTGGAAGGTCCTGATTTGGCAGAGGAGCCAACTCTGAGAAAAGAGAGAGATATTGGGCTGGATGAATGAAGCTCTTCTTTCTTGCTCACGTGTACATGTAACTTGTATAAATTCCCCTTGACGCAGAGAACGATTGATTCCAAAAGAGGAAGGTGGGGCCACGTCATGTAGAAGATGTCCACGTACACGTACTTCGTAGCTTTCCCTCAAGTAAAGCTAGTATGAGACCTAACTGTCGTCTAATCGATTGAAACCCGTCTTTCTGATGTAGGTCAAGCCACAAGAACAATTAGACTTTGTGGAGCGGGGCTATGAAAATGGCTGATGCCTTCCAAGGTTGAGGCTTGGTCTATTTAACTACACCCATCTAAAACCTGCCAGCTTCTATCAAACCACATCATACTCTTTCTCTTCAACGTAAAATTCCCACCAAGTCAATGATGACAACCAACATCCCCGAGATTCTCCTGCTCTGCATGGACAAGGACTTCATAACAGCCTTCAATGATGCCCTCGAAAAGAGTTGGCCAGATCACGACCCAGCAAAACTAAAGATCTCCCCGATACACGAGCGCCTTAACTCCCTCCCAGAAGGAACAACATTCGACCTAATCGTCTCACCAGCAAACTCCTACGCCCGTCTCGATGGAGCCTTCGACCACGCCATCTCTATGACCTTCAGCCCACGCAAGGACTACAACGCTCTGACACGCGCAGCACAGACAGTCCTGTATGAGAAATGGCGTGGTTTTGCACCGCCAGGCTCTTGTACACTTGTCGAGTTCCCAGATGACCTGAATCAAAATAGATATGACTGCGGATGGGTGGCTATTTGTCCGACGATGCGTGAGCCCGCAGATGTCCGCTGGGACAAAGAGATTGTCTATGAGTGTATTTGGAGCTTGTTATGTCAGGTTGAGGGATACAATCGTGCTGCAGAGGGGAAAGGGAGGATTGAGAGGATTCTGATGACGCCGTTGGCTGTTGGGGTTGGGAAGGTTAGTAAGGAGCGATGGGCGATGCAGACGGTCCTTGCACTGAGGCAGTTTGTTGATGCCGTTGAGAGGCCTGCAAGGTGGAGACACTTGGAGTGGAAGGATATTGACAAGGATTATACCGAGGTTGTGAGGAGTTGGGCGTTGTAAATTGTCGTGGGGGGTGGTTCCGAGGGTTCAAATCTTGCGCAGAAGTGACCACTGGAGCAGCGGCACTCCCAACCAGTGCGGCGGTATCCAAAGCACGTACTGTGTGAACTTCTATAATACCTAACACTGTTTGTACACTGTAAGCCAGTTCTTCGGTATGTCCGCGTTCTCCTTGTATCAGTTTACTTCGCTAATCTCTGAATGCACCGCCACTGGCGACTTTAACGCGCCCAACTTTCAACAAGGATATATTCTGGGGAAACTAGTGTCAAAGTCATCACTTACTTTCAAGTGTTTCACGAGCTACGTGGTTACTGTGCACCAATTGTGCTTCTGTGAGCGGGCCACTCCTTCGCTTCGGACCAATATTGTCTGCCAGCATCTCTCTACATTGAAGCCTACTTTCGCAGTTGGAGCGAATGAAAGGTTCGAGCGTGAAGAATGTGGTTGTATTTTGCTTCAGATAGTGGAAAATTTGAGGGATTCCGTGGTTCGATGATTGTCGCTTCGTCTTGCTGTCAAAAATGTGGCCGGGACTGGTTTCAGTCGTACATTCTTATGCCTCAGGTGCCATCGATATGGTGAAATATTCGGGATATCAAGCCATTACCTAGATAGGCATGTTTTTGGATCCTTCCTCCGTGGCAACCGTTGGCCACCAAGATATTCAATCATCCAAGCGCGAAAAAGGAGGCCTCAAGCTAGAATTCCAACTCTATGCAGTAGCGGTACATAATGCATAGCCCATTCCTTATCAATCATTGATTAATGTAAACAGCCACAGAGCAAGGCGAACCCACCCATGGAATGTGGCAACCAGGCAAGAGAATCTTCTTATCTCACAATTTGCTCGTTCACTCATAAGCTGTGTTCCTGTCATGGAATGCAACCCAGTGCTAGAAAGATCTGATACGTTTCAGGGCCCGGGAACTCGCGGGCCGGGGTAGTGACAGCATTCCTCATGCGAGGATCCCTTCCTGACAGGACATGATGGCTGGCTTCGAACAAATCAGATAAAACAGGACAGCAGAGCCCCCGAGTAGGCACCTAGGTCTTTGTGCAGATCAAAGATTTAGTGACATGCTTGGGGATTTTTGCCTTGCGCGCTGGAAGCGCCCGTTCTTCACTTTCATAGGAGTCGCATTCTGGTCGGACCTGACTGACTTCACATATTTCGTACGTGAAGCCCACGCAGACATAAAGATGGAGAGAGCACATACATCCACGGGCCAGAAACCAAACTACTTGACTTCGTCTTCCAAAACGCACAGGCTGTACCTGGGCCAACGACAACACAAGATGACAATCCAATTCTCAAACATGCCATTCGACTGTTTCCAGCCCAGTCCAGCCAAGAAATTCGTCTCTCTCACCAAGAACACTCGGGTACCCGGCGGGATCATCAACACCGTCTTTCACGAGCTCAAACCCCTTCAGCCAGACGACTTGATCGGCGAATGGGACGGATATCTCCTTGGCACAGGCCACCCGTTCGAAGATGAGCTGGACACACTCAACTGGTTCGGCAATACATTTTATTCCACCGACGACGTCGCGCCGCTAATTGTTGCGCGGAACGGAGAGCGGGTGCCCTTCGAGGATTGGGGGCGTGCATCCGTGAGTCCCTTCTCCTGTATTCTCTGACACATTGATAGTGGTGCATAGCTACACATGCCTATATACACCCGTGGCTGTGGCCTCTAAAGGGACATTCTGTGTGATTCATTTTGGGATAAAATGTCTGACATCTCTTTTCTTGATAGCTGCGTGAAATCAAATTTCAAGGAGTCGTCTCTGCGACTCTGGTTTACGATAAACGACCAATGATGGTTTATTATCGAGCTGTGAAACATAACATGGTGGCCGGGTGCATCGAGAGTAAAGAGTGGCCGGGGAAAGTATTCTTCTATTTGACGAAATGAGGAGATTGTTGTATTTAGGACGTACCTAGCTAGTGTTGACAACTTCACTCGAGTAGCTGAGAATATTGGGCCTAAAAAGGAATAAGTGTTCTGTGCTCAAATGACAATTATTCTTTGTCCAGATCCCATTTGATGAACCTCGTGATCCCCAACATAGTGCAATTCTACCAGTCAAGCTCAACCAACGCCTGCTCATCATCCACAGGCCTCCCAAACAGCTCCTTCGGAGTACCCTTGGTAGCAGCCCTCACAATAGACCTAGCCCCTTCCTCTGTTGATTTGACGCCTTGGCCGCCCTCGAAGTTGGTTCGACAGAAGCCCGAAGCAGCTGGAACAGACCAGAGAGAATATCTTCCTGTTAGACTACAATTAAGTCACCGTATTGTACTTCTTCGGGGGCACTTGGGATAGCTGCAGCAGGTTCTTGACTTGGGTTTGGGCTTGGTTGCCGGTGTGCTTGCTTCTCGCACGGGTATTCGTGGATTTCTTCGCCGTTCTTCTTGCATATTTTGTTTTGTTGTTTTTGTGTTTCAAATTTGTATCTTCGCCCTGGGATTTGTTGCCATCACTGAAACCGTTTTGGTTGTGATGTCCACAACTACTTTACCTTCAATCACGACCGCGGCCACTCCGCGACATCTTTCGATTGCTTGCACACGCTGTTTGTTGTGAGAAATAAGTACTATTCGCGCCCGGTAGAGAGACCGCTGCAAAGCTGGTGGATGGGGGCCACGAGGGAAGTAAGCCACAAGGTGCAGATGCTGATAGCAAGGGAAGGCCGGTTAACTCGGTAAAAAGGGAAAAAAAAAGTCTCCGTATGCTCCGTACCGAGGAAGGCGTAGGTACATGACAGTGAACACCTTAGGATGACCGGTGACAAGACAAATTCCAGATATCCTCGGCTTCATAAAAGATGTCGAAACGGTCCGTCATTCCGAAGCAATTCCATTGCCAAGAACGCGGCACTCCTTGGGTTGCATCTCAATTGCTGACCTGGGCACTCGTCTTGGCGTACGGTGAGCGACGCTTAGCGCCTTGGTATCCCGCTGCAGATCATGGCGCCTGGGATTGACCTTTTAAATTCACCCCGGAGTTGAGGGAGTTGGAGCTGTAACGGTCAGTGATTTCCGGGTTGAAGCATGCGTATTATATTCGAAGATATGGGGGAAATGGAAATTGAGATAAAGGAGATTGAAAGGGGCGAAAAATGCAGCTGTTACTTAGCTCAAACAGTAGCTGCATTAGATTCGGAACACCGACAGGAGTTGTGCTTATTCCCGGTAAGACAGAAAATCTCCTTGAGGAAACTGCGGTCATCCGAGACTTTCAATTCCAAACAGGTTTCCTGCGAGGATTGGTTAGGACTGCCATTTTGTTGGTTGTCCGACGGGGTTTGCGACCCTCTGCTGGATCACTTCTCATGGCGTCGGTCTTCAATCCATCTTTGACGTTGCTTACATACCTCAACTCAACTCTTGCATCTGGGCATATGCAATTGACTCTCAATGGGGATAGATGCTAGCGGTGAAACCTCCGGATAGGACTTCGAACCACCTTGGGCTCTGACTCTTGGTCTGATAGGGGATCGACTGAGGAAGCCACTAAGTGTTGACAGAAATGAACACAAGTTGATACAGAGAAAGATGAAGAAATGGGGAAAAAAAACACGTTAATAGGTGCAAAGTCAGGCTTAGTATATTAATTCCATAGTCATATCAATCTACTATAACCAGTGAGAACAAAATTCCTAGAATTCATCTGCCAGTTCACTGTTGCACTTGTCCAACCTACAACAAGGGTATACTATAAGAGGATATGGTTGTCTTGACTTTAACTCAGCCCTATCCGAAACTACAAGACTCTCCACTATTGCGTGCCGAGCTTCAAGGCAGCAGAATTCGAACGGAGTTAAGTGGTATTAGTATTTTTATAGCATTTTCAGTATGATATAGCCCTGAAGAAGATCAAACTGGGTTGTCGACTTGGTAAAAAGCCGTGATCGGACCCAACGCCGACATTTTAACTTTTCCCGGCACCTCGTCCAGGAACGCGAAAACTCCGTACGACTCGAGGGGTTCTCAGTGACTTCGACCTATTTATTACCCTGTACGAAGTACTACCAAGTACACATTCATACCTTCAGAATCGTTTTTATCAAAATGGAGAAGACAGAGGCCCCGGCCACTCCCGATCTCGAAGCCCCAGACCTCCCCGTCAAAGAGTCCAGCATCGCCCAACGATGGAAGGAGAACCTGACACCCACACACGCAGACTTGGTCTGTCTGCTCCTCACTTTCCTCACCGGTCTATGCGATAGCAGTGCCTACAACGCATGGTCCTGCTTCCTCGGAATGCAAACCGGTATGGATCATAGCCCGTTGCTCTCCCGCCAAGGGGGGGGGGGGGTGCAAATGCTAAAACAATCATATCCTCCCTCCTCACCCACGAATCACGAAATAGACAACTAAGAATGCCTCCTCAAAACAGGAAACACGATCTTCCTCGGTCTCGGCGCTTCCAATCAACCTAAAAATAAGCCATGGGGCTGGCTCAAGTCCCTGATGTCGATCACGTCCTTCTTCCTCGGCTCGATGATCTTCTCGGTCGTGATGCGCAACGTTGGCGCCCTCCGTCGCGGAACTCTTTTCGTCTCATTCCTCGTGCAGACTCTGTTCATCATCATCGCTGTCGCATTAATCCAAGGCGACCTGATCCCCCACACGTCCACCGACGCCACCCTAACCGGCGGCTCGCTTTTCCTCGAACTGATCCCGATCGGCCTGCTGGCTTTCCAGTCCGCGGGCGGAATGACGTGCAGTCGTGCGCTGGGTTACAATGAGATCCCGACCGTGGTCTTGACGAGTGTATACTTTGATATTGCGTCGGATCCGAAGATTATTGGTAAGCCCACTACGAATGTCAAGCGCAACCGTCGTGTCGGTGGCGTTGTGTGTCTGCTCATCGGCGCTATCGTCGGTGGCTGGCTGAGTCGTAGCAGTGGTGGTATGGAGTCAGCGCTGTGGATGGCTGCTGGGATTAAGTTTGTCGCGGCGATCGCGTGGCTATTTTGGAAGGCTGCGCCAGCAAAATAGATGCGTGCAGCTCTTCGGCGATGCGAGTTACTTTGTTCTGATACTGTAGAGGTTATGTAGATTGCAATTTATAGTTAGATTTACATCCATCAATGTTAATGTTGAGGGGGATCTAGGTATTCCTCGATTGGGTTTGGTGTTACATTTGTCCCATTGCTCTTCACTATATAACTAGATGACTAGGTAGGGGTATTAGAGTCTTTTAAAGCCTCCTTGATCTTTCTCATTCAGATCTGGGTACAGTCGAGTTATCACGAACCCGGCTTAAACGAACTAAAACCGGTGCACCAACTAATCCGCCATCTTAACAATGAAGATTCTCCTACGACGAACATTGTTTCAATTCACCATCCTTCCCCACACTAAATTCGTAAAAACGAGGTTCTATCACGTCATTTACAGCGGATTTCAACCAATCAACATGCCTCATCCACTGGTCATGTGATTCTGGCTCCTTCTACCCAATTACAACAACTCGCTGGTTGATCCTACCCCTAGAGTAGCGTAGTGTACTCCGTCGTCACTCTCAGCTCCAGTACAGCATTACTAGCTTACTTAATAGCTCGACGTTGGTTAGGATGACAGTATGATTGAAGGTCTATACTCTACACTTTTAGGCTTTCAGGGGTTTCCCCCCTCTTTCTTTGCATAAAGAACTGGTAAATAAGGGTGTTACGAAGTTGATAAGCGCACATCCTGGTGTGAAAGGTCACGACGGAGTAGAAGTGAAGAGATCAAAGGAAGGAAATAGAGCATCAACTTACACTATACACCTGATCCAGAAAGATCACCCGCTATAAACATGTTCAGGCACCGGGTTTATAGGAAGACCAGAATTCAACAAAGATTTGTCCGTGCATCAATTCATTCGGGTCGGTTCAAACGTGCTCTCTTCTCTGGCGCCTACAACATATTTAGCAACCCCCCGACTTGGCTTTGGGAGTCAGTACATACATGTCTTGCACTTTTGCTCATTCCGTGCATGTAATTGGCCACACCTTAGGCGCTAATTCGGAATCCTGTTAGGGAAGATGATTGGCCGTGATAAGCGTCCGGACTCCGGAATATCACTACGATCGCCCCCGCATAGCTGGGTATTCGAATAGGAATTGGCCATCAAGTTGTAGAGTGTTACCGGAGTGACCTTGGTGGCTGTCAATTTCTTTACCCAGGATAAGAAATCCACTTGATAGGAACAAGGTTGTTGGGGCTCTTGCTCTCTCTTCCTGAGCCGCTCTCCCCTTCTTCCTTTCGCTCTCTGTCGCTTTTGTTTCCGTTCCTCTGGTGACGGTGTCTGCTCATAAAGAGCAAAATCCGTCCTCTACCTACGCTAGTAGACTCGATGGCCTCTACGGCCCAGGCGGTTTGTCTGAGTGTGGCTGATGGCGCAATTGGACCCCGGGTCGATGTCGCCTGTCGTAATTTTGATTTCACGGTCTACTTTGAAGATCTCTTTTTTGCTTGCCTCCCAACTACATTGTTCTTATTAGGTATCCCTGTTTCCCTGTGGTTGCTATGGAACGAGCCCCATCGTATCAAGCGGTCCACACGACTGCTCTGTAAGCTAGGGGGTCATTCAATCATCTCTCAAACTTTCCCAAGCACCACGGCCAACACGATCTATAGGCAGCGCTCGTGATAATCGTTACTTGCCAACTTGCCTTTTTGCTTTTACGTCAATTGGGATCTACTATCATCCAAACCGACGCCTCATTGGCAGTAGATGTGCTGGAACTAGTGGCTATCTCCAGCGCTATAGTGCCATCATACATTCATCATTGCCGTTCGATTCGACCTTCGACACTACTCACTCTCTTTCTTTCTGCTCGATCACTTCTGGGTATCGCGCGTGTGCGGACACTGTGGCTCATCCCAGGTGAAACTGACAAGGCGATTGTCTTTACCGTTGGTTTCACTTTCAACTTGATCTCGTTGGTGTTTGAATCCTCTGAGAAAGAGTCAATCGTCACTCCGGAAACAGAAAAGCCTGGTACCCCAGAACCATTTAGTGGGGTTTGGAAGCAAGCTAGCTTCGCCTGGCTTGCTGGAACATTTCGCCTGGGATATTCCAAAATCATTTCCGTTTCCGATCTTCCCGATCTTGATCCACGGCTAGACAGCGAGGCCGTTGCGTATAAGCTACAGAAGATATGGTCAAAGCAAGGTAATGCATACTCTTAATTCGTGTCGAGGGAGCTTTTCTAATGTTTCCCTCGTTGTAATTTTCAGAGAACAAGTCTAAGAAACATGAAAGGTATCTCAATGTCCATTCGAGCCGGAGAAAAGATCGCTACTTGCGGCCCTTCCGGTAGCGGAAAGACAACACTACTCCTTGCCCTCCTTGGCATGATCCAATTCGAACAAGGCAATATTTGTATCGATGGACTCGACTTGTCAGATTACTCCAGAGCTGAAACTAGAACCAAATTGAATGTGATTACCCAAGATCCATTCTTGGTCGCCGGCACGATCCGTTTCAATGTCGATCCCCTCCAGGGGGCGTCGGATGCTAAGATTATCAGCGCTCTACAGAAGGTACGATTATGGGGGAAGATTAAAAAAGAGGGTGGGCTTGACATGGCGATGAAAGTTACTGCCTGGTCACAAGGCCAAAAGCAACTCCTCTGCCTCGCTCGTGCGATGGTTCGAAAAGGCAAAGTACTAATTCTTGATGAAGCAACGAGCAGGTCTGTGTATCTCCATTCAACATAATCTTTGATTTGAACACTAAAAATGTGTTTTTCTAGTGTTGATAACGAGACTGAGAATTTCATGCAGGAAATCATCAATGCTGAGTTTTCGACTCATACTGTCTTGGCGGTTGTACATCGGCTGAGGTTCATCAGTTATTACGACCGTATCGCTCTCTTGGATAATGGTATCTTGATGGAATTCGACTCGCCCGAGGCGCTTATGTCTACTGATTCTCAATTTAAGACACTTCATGACCCTGGGAAGCTGTGAGTGCAGGTGCTATGTGAAGAAACAAGTTGAGAAGCAGTACACCGTTAGGTCTCTGATGGAGCTATAGAGGACAGTTGGCTCTCAATACATGGTCATAATTCGAGAGATCTTCACTACTTCGTTTCGGATTTCAATGCAAACTCCTGCACCTGCGTTCTGTCACAACAGATGAAATCCGGATGTAGTATAGATAGAAGTAATGGTAATTTTTACCTAGATCTATACGAAGAGCTTGATGTAAGGCATCTTCAAAATCGATCTATATGGCGCCCCTTCAGATTTTCCCCAGTCAAAGTATGGATAGTTCGAAGTATCAACAACTCGCTAAAAGACAAGAATAATCGGCCGCGTGTGTAGCCTTTTCATGTTTTTGAGATTTCATTTAGATGTCGTTCATCTATTTATGACCTTTAGAGATAAACTAATCATACTACAACCTATACTCCAGGCAGAAACAGTACTGGGGCCCCGGAGGCAAAAGACTAACCGGTCTGACTCGTCATCTACCATCTACATTCTTGCTCTTCTCTATCCACCATCCTCTACCCCTTGGGTATTTTCAAGACCCCTTCCTATTTCAAACACTTGCTTGCCATCTTCTAGCCCTAGGCTGGAGATCTTGTCCGTCGCAAAGATATCCAAGAACCTAACTAGGACGACGGAGCCTCCGATTTTTCAATCACTCAAAACTGAGCTCTGTAACTTCAGAGCTATACAACTTGGACAAAAGCATTCTTCATTCATGGAATAAAAGGCCCAATATTTTTCTCCCATTACGTCGTCTGGTACTTGATGGATGATCTAATCATCTACCGATTGCTAATTTATGCCACAGGCCAATCCTGTAGTCCGAATGGCCAATTGGGGCAGACTTTAGATGCCAGTGCTCCGCTACTATGAGCTTTGTGAGGTTGGCGCCTATCAGCGGGCCTGTTCAGATTCCCCGGTGGGGATTTTCAGTTCTCTCCGCCATGGATCGCTGAAATCCAACACGGTACAAGTCGCGATACGGCTAAGTAGAGACTGTTTCCTGATACCAAAAGCACCGACTTTCCCCAAGGGGAATCCGACCCGGAGATAACCCGGGACCAGAAAATGCCGAGCTCACCCATGTCAGATTTAAAGGGCTCCCCAATCCGCTCAATGATATGAATCAACTCTAAGAATTATTTGACATGATGTCCGCTTCGCCCCCCACAATCCTTCTCATTGGTGCTTCCCGTGGCCTCGGCCACGCCATGGCGGCAGAATTTCTAGAAACGGGATGGAACGTTGTCGGCACAGTCCGCGGAGAGTCACGAACATTATTCCACGAGCTAGCAGACAAATACACCGGCCGGGTAGAAATTGAGACCTTGGATATTTGCCAATCTGATCAAATCAAGGCCCTCGACAAGCGCCTATTAGTGTCGGGAAAGACATTTGACATCCTTTTCGTAAATGCTGGAACAACAAATCGTGACCCAACCCAAAACATCGGCGATGTATCAACGGAGGATTTCATCCATGTCATGGTCACAAATTCTCTCAGCCCCATGCGTGTCGTTGAAAGTCTGGCACATCATGTGGCTCCGAGAGGTCTCATCGGTGTTATGTCATCTGGACAGGGAAGCATCAGCAACAATGAAACCGGTCTGCGAGAGGTGTATCGCGGCACTAAAGCTGCGCTCAATATGTTCATGCGAAGCTTTGCGGCTCGTCAGGATCCATCGCGTCCAATGGTGGTGATGGCTCCGGGTTGGGTCAAAACCGAGTTGGGGGGTTCCGAGGCTCGGCTTACAATTGCAGAAAGCATTCCCAGCTTGGTAAATGTACTTATTGAAAAGCAAGAACGACCGGGACTCGAATATCTGGACTACCGTGGTCGAACTGTGCCTTGGTGACGTCTCGCCAAACTCACCCACATCTACCCACCTGTGCAGTATTTTTTCTTCACGCATTCGATCGACCTAAAATCTTTTCTATGGGGATCGAGTGATGTCTACAGCCGTCTCATGTATTATAAATTCCAAGTTCCATTTAAATGGCATACGCAAGAAATCCTGCGGGAATAGGTTTATATAGAGATGGAGATCGCCAACTTCGGGCACGGCGTGGATGGCGAGACATTTATCACGGCAATTAATGGCTTCCGATAACCCCAAATTCACAACTTGGGTGCTCCCCATCTTTTCCGTCGCATAAACTGTGTCACAGATGTAAAAGACAGCGTTAGCACTCTTTCGAGAACTACAAGCCGCAGGATTATCTTCTCAAATCCAAGGTGACCATGGTCCTTTTTTTTCATTTCAAGACGGATCCATATTCAGAACGATAGTCACCACCAGGATCACTTTTTCCCACATCTCCATCAATGCTTTGCATCCGACTTTAGGCACTGAGATCAGTGGCGTGGACTATTTGTTTCCCTTGAAGATTGAAGCAACTGAGGAGATATCTCAAGTTCTGGCCCAGGTATGGCCGGCTCTTTCATATTGCGAACTTGCATTATCTGATCTCTGTATTGATAGGGCTGTTTGAAAACTAGAATGTTATCGTCATCTTTCGCCGCCCCGGGCTCACATACTCGGATTACATTGCAATCTTTCGGAAATTAGGGAAGTTGGACTACGTAAAACGGTTCATCACCGCTGGTCAATGAAATCGTCTCAACAACAGAGCTTATCATTCATAGGAAATGTCGAAGCTGACAGATTCGTCCTTATCCCCAGAGTCCCATGTGGTGAAGCAAACAAGGCTACCAACTCACGAAAGCTCTGTACACACTTCTGTCCATCACCGACACACAGGGTAACGCCTCTTCCACGTTGCCTGGAGCTTTAGCCCTCGCCGCATCAGATGCTCACTCCTCTTAGCACATAAGCTACCGCCGAGTGGCATGGGGGCCACACTACCGTTGTAGACACCAGGAGGGCATTCGAAGACCGGGCTCGTCGTTATCTTGCCACTAGCATGCAGGTCCCTCGGCCTGTACAAACTTTCACGCCAGTATTCACTACATGTTGCCCTGAATTCTTGATTTTAATGTCGGAACTGGTCGAATTCGAGGCAGGCGCTCTCAAGGTTCCGTTTTGCAGTAAAGACAATCAATGCTCATGGTTTCCAAGGGAGATGTGGAAAGCCAAAATCAGTGTTAGAGGAACCACCCAGAATGCTACTTAAACATCTAACTCTCTCAATCTCAGAGAATGATGGTTTTGTAGGATACACTGCATGCTGACAGAGAGCAATTTGTAGCGTGAAGTGCTTTGATACCGATCTAAGAGATTCCCAGGCAAATGCCCAGAGATCCACATGCAGATCTCATTTCTGATAGCCGAGAACTAAAACAAGGGTGAACTCCGTGGAGATCAGCATATGCATAAATAGTGAGCATCCAAAGACCACTTACTGAGCAGCCGTCATCATGCACATTGCTGGCATATACATCTGTCTATAGCCAGCATCAACCTCAGTACAGTCCTGTGTTATTGCATCAAGTTTTATTAAATAAAGATCTGCTAGTGATTGACACGTATAGGGTGATTCGCAGGCTAAACTCGTTCCCTAACTATCGGTATATTGCTGGAGGAGTAATATCTTGGCGTCTTACAGTTCGCTGTCACCTGCACACAACCGATTATAGCCTGTGGAACAGCTTCAACCAAGGTAGTTACTGGGCCAACAAAATGAAAGAGTTTTGATTGCCACCAGACAGATGGTTAAAGAACATACTATCCGTGGATACTAAAATCATAACAAACCAGAGCTTTGTGGCAACAAAGCCATGATGGCATGTCCACACACTCAGAATCCATCAGAGCCACCATGGCCCACAATAAGCAGCAACTGACTGGCTCCCACAAAATCAAATCTCAGAACAGAATGGAATCAATGGTACGACTAGATGCATCTGAATGGCAAGCGCGGAGAAAAACCCAAGGTGATGGGTAAAAGTCATCGTCATGGTCAAGTCATTGCCGCCACCTTCATTGAATATAAAGATGGACGGGTTTCTCCAGATTCTCAATGAAATCATCATCCAATCTGATGAAAACTAAGTCTAGTTATAAACCACTATTGGTATGGATCCTAATTTAACCTTTGTTTCTCATAAGAGCATCGGGAGTGTTGACTTGACGGGGGTGTGATGCTCTTGTTGAGAATTCTTACTGACATTGTCCAGACAATATGCCCAAGGATAGAGGTCAAAACCGGGGCCAGGAAGCTCCCGCCTGCAGAGCTAGGACCCATGCTACGGAAACGGCGTCACATAGCGAGATGGGCCCTGCTGAACTTTTGAGTGAACATATGGATGCTTCTGGCAATGCCGTACCCGATCCAAACTGGGGTCCTACAAAGATGCCTGATGAAGATGTCGACTTATTTGAGGCTATGAACGCAGACACTTCGGAGTTTGAGAAGGGTTAAAACAATTTGATATGGTGAAAGGGGTTTCATGAATCCGACAATAATTATGTTTAGTATTTCCACCGAATTGAACTACATTTGCAAGCGATCTACTCCACTGCATATTTTGAGAACGTATTTGACACATATAAAAGCTTGCAACACATTGCAACACATTCGTTTTAATAGTTGCTCTATAGAGCGCATGCAGAGAGAGTGGAGTATAGTGGGCCATTGCTATGGCAACAACACTTATAGACAGCGACACTTCAATGTCGTAGAACCTCGGAAATCACATTGTCACTATTGTTTCCAATTTCCACCTCGTTCTTTCTCGTGATATAATATACATTCTTTCCGCAAAAAAATGCTCTAGACTCGCAACGTGTGTTTATAACAAACTGAACTTTCCCCAGGGAAACAACGCGCAACAGTACCGACCCCCTTTCACTCATTCCAGTCTACACATTCCCTTTCCAATCTACCTGTTCTTTGTTCCCTTTGTCCATCCCATTTCATGTAATCAATCTTGCATGTACCATTCGCTTCTTGATCGAAGACGCGCCGCCGTCACCACTTGTGTACAGCTATTAAGCGATAGCAGTAGGGAC